ATCTGCTAACTTACTCTGGCCCTTCTTTCCACCTGGTTTTCCCACAAGGCAACCACAACCATCACAGTGCTTTATTTAAATCTCCACTGTTTTCAAACTCTTATTTAATACTGGATGCAAAGAACTCCTACAATCTGGTCTTGATCTACTTCTCTAACCTTGTTCTCCCTAGCAGCACTCTGATGAAGCCACATGAGGAAAAGACTGCTAATTATAACCCAATATCTGTTTGCTTCCTCGGTATTTAAATCCTGGTTTTTAGCTGAAAATGTGAGCATGGAAGATCTTTTCCGGCCTCCCTTGCAGCTATGTGGCTGGATTTGGGGCAATGGGATATGAGCCATGGCCTTTTCCATACCTCTTCCTTTTCCCGCTTGTTGGAACGTGGGATGTAACAGTTTGAGTCTTTCTTACCACTAGGTAGAAAGTGCCCGTGGAGGATGACAGCACTGTTGTGGATGGATAGAGCCAGGTCCCTGATGTCTGTGAAAACTGCCATACCAACCCTGGACTGCTACCTAGGCTTTTATGTTAAGAAGCTTCTCTATTGTTTAAACCCATTTCACTGTATTTTCTGTCCCTTGGAGTAGTTTTGTATGACCCTAATATATCATACCATTCTTCCAGTTCTCCATTCTCTGGACTTTGAACTCATGCTTGCAATTCCCTCTGCCTGAAACACTACTAACACCTTCTGTGCTTGTCAGCTTTCATCCTTCAAATCTGAGCTGAAGTATTACTCTCTTGGATGAGTCCTCCTTGACTTCCTAGATAAGGTTAAATAATCTTGCTGGGTTTTTTTTTCTTACACTTAAGGGAAAGTGTAAGGAAAATACTCACCAACTGGTGGATAAACATAAATCTCTTTTAATACTACATACTCTTTAAGAGCAAGTATCTGCTTGCACTGTCATCCAAGTGTTTGGCACTCAGTATATGCCAACAAATATTTGCTCAATGAACAAATGAATAACGTCATTGCCCTCGCATGATTTCTGGACCACACCTTGAGAACTTCTTGGCCTTACATTACAGGACTCCTGTAAACTTCACCTGTAGCTCTATTCCGTCAGTCACACAATGTAACCACTGTTTCTCTACATTCTCTTTTGGACAGTTCTGAAAAGTGTCAACTCCTTCATCAGATCCACACAGTTTTCTTGCACATCTTCATTTTCTCATTACATACCTAGGGCTAGAATAGAAGTATTATGGGTATTCTTGGAATTAAAAAAAAAAAAGCATGGAACAGCAAAGTTGAGAAAGAAGAACAAAGTTACAGGTGTCTCACTACCTGATGTCAAACTATACAAAGATACAGTAATCAAAACAGCATTGTACTGCCATAAAAACAGACACATAGATCAATGGAACAGAATCACCCAGAAATAAACCCATGCCTATGTGGTCAATTAACATTTGAAAAAGGAGGCAAGAACTTACAATGGGGCAAAGACAGTCTATTCAATAAACTGGTGTTGGGAAAAGTGGGCAGATACATGCAAAAAAAAAAGAAACTAGACAACCTTCTCACACCATGTACAAGAATAAACTTAAAATGGACTTAAAACTTAAATGTAAGGCTTGAAATCTAGAGAGAAAACAGGGAATACAATCTCTGACATTTAGCAATAATTTTTCTAATGTATCTTCTTGGACAAGGGAAAAAAATAAACAAACAGGACCACATCACACTAAAAAGTTTTTGCAGAGCAAAGGAAACAAGCAACAAAAATAGAAAAACAACCTACTGAATGGGAGAAGATATTCAGCAATGATACATCCAATAATGGGTTAATATCCAAAATTTATGGACCTCATAAAACACCAAAAAAATTAACAATCCGATTAAAAAACGGGCAGAGACCCTGAATAGACACTTCTCCAAAGAGGGCATACAGATGGCCAATAGACATATGAAAAGATGCTATACGTCACTACTTCTCAGAGAAATGCAAAATAAAACCACAATGAGATATCATCTCACACCTGTCTGAATGGCTATTGGCATTAAATCATCAAATAACTAGTATTGGCAAGGATGTGAAGAAAATGAAACCCTCGTGCATTGTTGGTGGGAACACAGACTGGTGCAGCCACTACAGAAAACAGTACAGAAGTTTCTCAAAAAATTAAAAATAGAACTGCCTATGACTCAGCAATTGCACTTCTGGGAATATACTTGAAGAAACCCAAAACACTAAAACTCAAAAGAATACATGCATCCCTATGTTCACTGCAGCATTATTTACAACAGCCAAGATATGGAAGCAAACAAAGTGCCCATGAAGAGACTATGGATAAAAAAAGCCGTGGTCCATATATACAATGGAATATTACTTGGCCATAAAAAAGAATGGAATCTTACTATTTGCAACAGCATGGATGGACCTGAAGAGTACTGTGCTAAGTGAAATAAGTCAGACAGAGGAAGAGAAATACCACATGATTTCACTTATATGTGGAATCTAAAGAACAAAATAAATGAACAAACAAAACTGAAACAGACTCATAGAGAGAACAAGCTGATGGTTGTCAGCAGGGAGGGGATTTGCAGGACTGGTTGAAAAGTTGAAGGAGCCCTGGCTGGTGTGGCTCAGTGGATTGAGCTCCAGCCTGCAATCTGAAAGGTCACCAGTTCAATTCCCAGTCAGGGCATGTGTCTGGGTTGTGGGCCAGGCCCCCAGCTGGGGTCATGCAAGAGGCAACTGATTGATACATCTCTCCAATGTTATTTCTCTCCCTTTCTCCCTCCCTTCCCCTCTCTTTAAAAGTAAATAAATAAAACCTTTTAAAAGAAAGTTGAAGGGATTAAGAAGTACAAATTGGCAGTTATAGAATAGTCATGGGTATGCAAAGTACAACATAGGGAATATAGTCAATAACGGAGTAATAACTATGTGAAATGTCAGGGAGAACACTTTATAAAGTATATGTCTGCCTAATCATTATGCTGTACACCTGAAACTAATACAAAATAATATTGAGTGTAAAGTGTAATAGAAAAAAATTTTAAATGCAGGCCTTCACTTAATATGACCAATGACCAACATTTTCAACAGTTGAGATGCCTTATAGGTCTTTTTAAAAGGAAAACGTGATACATACAAACCACATTATCTGAATTATGGATATGTAGAGGAAAATATTCTTAAAATATTTTACAAGCCTCTGGTTTTAACGTGTACATTACTTTTTAATGGCATTACAAGTAGTTTACTGTAATGCCATGAAAAAGTTTACTGCTTTCTGTATTCACCTTTCATTGACGCTGAGAAGTCTACATGGCTTACTCATTTTAAAAAATTAAGCACCTTTTTGTTATAACACTGTGGAGTTAAATAAATAGGGTCATAAGAAGGTAGTGGAGATAAGATAAACAAAAACCAAGAAATCTGAGTGACAATCTCAGTTTTGCCAATGATTTACTGAGTGACCTTGGACCAGCTCTCTTCTTAACTCTAAAATGAAGTTTTCAGTACAGATAATTCCTTAGATCCCTTCCAAGGACAATATTTTTTCGACATACTGTTAATGATTTAATAGAAATGATCATTGGTAATTATGCCAAAAACTGTGTAATTGCAAGTATTCACAGGAAACCTGGTATTTGCTCCTAAGTTTTAGGTTCTGTGGAGGTTTAAATTAGTCTAAAATATGGTTCTTCAAAGATCTAAACACAAATGTGTATTTGGAAATGCAAGTTTCTGCTTGAGGAGAATGGCTTTTAGAATGTGTTTTCCCAGTAGATGTTACTCTCCTCCCACATTTCTTAGGTGCCCACACCAGCTTCAGAAGGCGCTCCGTAAAGCGCCACCAGCCAATAAAACAGAATGCTTTTCACTGCCACACCCTTCATCACTACACCTTCCTTCTCCTTCCGCTGCTCTGGAGCCTGATAAGAAAACTCCAGAGAGCAGGTGACCCGGCGTCTGACAACTGCACAAATTTCTGTACTACAACAAAATGCAAAGACATCTGGTCTTGTTCAGTTCTTCAAAGCAAAAACGGCCGAATCTAGGGTTTCCACATTTCTAATAAAAGTTAAATAAGTGTGTAGCCTTCTCCAGTCATGAACAGAATGGAAGAACCCATGTAAGTCCCCGCTTCGATTCTCGGACCCTGCGGGTTCCTGTTTGCCCACGCCAAAGCCACCTCCCACCACTTCTTCGCGCCCTTGGAGGCGACCGCCCAATACCCATCCCGCAGTCGCCAGCCAGCCCTAACCTCCTCGAACTGCTCGCCGGAGCAGCCGGCGCCGCGAGCCTCCAGCAGTTCCCGGAACTGCTCCAGGGTGACTGACTCCTCGCCGCGGCCCAGCCGCTCTTCCAGCCAGCGTAACAGCGCGCCGTGGTGCCTGGACACCAGAGACTCGCAGGGCGGCGAGGGCCGTAGCGCAGCCGCCGCCTCTCGCAGCCGCGCCGGCTCCAGCAGCGCCGAGGCCGGTGGCAGCACCGGGGCGGCAGGGCCCGGGCCCGGGGTCATGCGGGAGTCCGCGGCCCAGTCCGGGTGCGGGCCCCAGCTCTCGCCTCCCGTGGCTGCCGCTTCGTCTTCACTGCTGTGACTCGGAGCGTTCCCCATGGGGTCTCCGTCTCGGGCGCCCGGGCTCTGCCGCCGCCGCCGCCTCCCCGCCTAGACCTGTCAACCTCAGACAGTACCCGGCGGGCGGGGACGGGGAGGGTACGGCGGCGGCGGCTTCCGACTTCCTCGCCGTCAAGCGAGGATTGCTGTCGCTAAGGCGCCGTCAAGCGGACTTCATCCGCTGTCGTGAGACAGACAAGCTCTGCGAAGAGTGAAACTACGAATTAGGAGAAGGCGCAGCTGTCCTGTCGTTTGCGTCATCAACGATCTCCTTTGCCACCATCTTTGTTTGGGGCGGACAACCTGCCAGCCAAGAAGGCTTTTTTCTTCTCAGTTGCTGGGTATCCTTCCACGTTCACTAGCTTGCTGAAAAAGTACGAGAAAGAGTCGGAGCCCTGGAGTGAGCTTTACCCAGACTTTCTTCCTTTTAGTCATTTCAAGGGAGAGCTTAGCGTCGGTGACTTCGCTGCCAGCGCCTCCGCCATCTTAGTTGTGGGCGGAGAGGCGGCAACTACGGGAGCTTGTAGAGGGTCCCCAGTCTAAATGCTGCGGCTCAGCGGGCGCGGGCTCCTACTGGGCCTGGCTGCAGCGGCGACCGCAGTGCTGGCAGCGCGGCTGATGGGCTGGTGGAGTCCCAGCTTCCGCGCTGGCTTCCGCCTTTTCATACCCGAGGAGTTGGCCCGCTACCGCGGCGGCCCCGGGGACCCAGGCCTCTACTTGGCATTGCTGGGCCGCGTCTACGATGTGTCCTCTGGCCGGAGGCATTACGAGCCTGGAGCTCACTATAGCGGCTTCGCAGGTATTAGCGAGGCGGTTCACGCCCTTTCTTGGTCCCACGCGGGCGTGTAGACGCCTGCGCGGTGTTTATTCAAGTATTCATCTGCTTTTTACCCTCATTCATCAGAGCAGCATGGGGGCTGGGTGCAGCTGCATGATCCTTCTTGTCTCTAACTTGTAGCCAGCTGTTAACCGGCTTCTATTGTCCTTGTCGTTTCCTACGTTCTTCCTGACTTACCATGGAGAAACGTCTCCTGCTTCTTGTCAGTTACCCATTCATTACCCACCGGCAGAAGCCCCCGGAGGGATACCTGCTTTGTGCCACACTGCGTGGCTCTCAGGGCACAGAGATGAATGAGAGCCAGCTCATTATGTCCGGATCCAAGTTTCTCCCCATCCAACTTTCCTCTAAAAATAGTATGTTTGGTTTGTGTAGTTCTTGCTTCCAGTACAGATACACTTGTCAGCCTTTCTTTAAAAAGATGAGGTTAGAGCGCAAAGGAATGTGGTCACTTTTACAGTCTTTCATTATGTTAGGCTTCAAAGAACACTTGTCAGATGAAGTTTATTCTACTGACCCTACTTTACAGCTGAGGGTATTAAAGGATGTAATTTGCTCAAAGCCCTCACAACTAATTACTAACAGGACTTGGTCTAAGACCACCAGCTTATTACCTTTAGAGATGCTTCCTTACCAGCCCAGAGGAATGACCATCTCCTGGATTAAGAGAAAAAAATGCAGAGCAAGTTAAGACCAGTGACTAGGCTGATAGGAAATAAGCATTTTCCACTTGTCATTCATTATCAGGGAAATTGGAAAGCTGCCTCTGGTACTTAAATACGCATCACTACCCTGTCTTTAGAGAGAACTTTGGAAATAGCAGCACAGACAGGAACTAAGTTCAGTTGGTGTTTCCAAGCTCCTCAATTTGCCCGGGAAGGGACTTACCAAGGGCTACACAGTGACTTAGAAGTGGAGCTGAGACTGGAATCAAGAGTTATTTTATCTGCCAGGAGAGGGCGCTTATTGATGTACTATCCTGCCCCATCCTGTTGCAGCTGTCATGGCCATATCCACAGTGTGAGCATAAAACTCTGCATTGCTGGGATGAAGTTTCTTTCGTAGTGTGTTCTACTGTCTACTGAGTTCCTTTGTGCCCACTATTCATTTAACACCTATTACTGACCATTACGACATAGCCTGTCTTGTACCAGGTGCTGAGAAACCAAAAATTATAGCACTCTCCCCACCGTTCACACAGTCTAGTAGAGAAGCAGATTTGTTAAGTTCATATACTCATTTGTTCAGTCAATATTTTTATTAAGGTATAATTCATATAAAACTCACCCCTTTAAATGTATAATTCACTAGTTTCTAATATAGTCAGAAAGTTGGGCAAACATCACCACTATCTAGTTCCAGAACATTCTTACTACCCCCTAAAAGTAACCTCATATCCATAAGCAGTCACACCCCATTCCCCTCTGTCCCTCGGCGCCTGACATACACTGTCTACTTTATGTCTTTAAAGATTGTCCTGGGCATTTCATATACATGGGGTCATACATGCGGCCTTTGGTGACTGGTTTATTTCACTGGACATAATGTTCTCACGGTTTGTCCATTGTGTATCACCCTGTGTCAGTACTCCATTCCATTTCATGCTCAAATAATATTCCATGTACAGTATGCCACTTTTGTTCATCGCATGTTGGAATTTGTCTTGTCTCCACTTTTTGCCTATTATGAATAATGCTGCTATAAACATTCATGTGCAAGTTTTTGTGTGGGCATGTTTTCTGTTTTCTTGGGCATTTACCTAGGTATTTACATAGAATTGCCAGGTAACTCTATGTTTAACTTTTTGAGAAACTTCCAAATTGTTTTCTAAAGTGGCTGCACTATTGTGCATGCTCACCATCAATGATTAGAGTTTCAATTTCTCTGTATCCCTCACCAGACTTGTTATTGGCTGCCTTTTTTTGTCTTTTTGATTATAGTCATTTTAGTGAGTTTGAAATGGTATCTCACCCTGACTGGTGTGGCTCAGTGGATTGAGTGCTGATCTTCGAACCAAAGGGTGGAATGTTTGATTCCCAGTCAGGGCATGTGCCTGAGTTGCAGGCCAGGTCCCCATTAGGGTGCATGTAAGAGGCAGCCACACACTGATGTTTCTCTCCCTCTGTTTCTCCCTCCTTTCCCCTCTAAGTAAATAAATATATTCTTTTAGAAAAATGCTAGAATCCTCCATTGACAGTATATCTTAAAAAAATAAAAAGAAATGGTATCTCACCGTGGTTTTGATTATTTGAATTTCCCTAATAACTAATGATGTTGAGATCTTTTCACATGCTTCTTTATCATTTGTATATTCTCCTTGGATAAATGTCTATGCAAATTCTGTGTCCATTTTTTAATTAGGTTATATTTTTGTTGAGTTTTGAGAATTCTTAAATAATTGTGGAAAGCAATATATGATTTGCAAATATTTTTTCCTATTCCGTAGGTTGACTTTCACTTTCTTAATAGTGTCCTTTAAAGCACAAAAATTTTAAATTTGATCAAGTTCAATTAATTTTTTCTTTGGTTTCTTGTGTCTTTGGTATCCTAAGAAACTGTTGCCTAATCCAAGGTCACAAAGTTTTACACTTGTTTTTCTTCTAAGAGCTTTATAATTTTAGTCCATGCATTCAGGTTAATGTATTTTGAGTTAATTTTATATATGGTATGAGAAAGGATCTAATTTCATTCTTCTGTATGTGGCTATTCAGTTGTCCAAGCACCATTTGTTGAACAGACTCTTCTTTCCCACTTTGAATTGTTTTGACACTCTTTTTGAAAATCAGTTGGATTTTATTCAGTCAGCAGCTATTGAGAATTTAATAAAGAGCTGTCACTACCAGACACTGAGCAATCAATACTAAAGGAGTTTGGTGTTTCCCTTATAAAACTGGTAGACTAGTGGAAAAGACAAACATTAAGTAAGCATCATGTAAACAATTAATGAATTATTTTTGTGATGAGTGTTATAAGGAAAACATATTGCTGTTACCAGTGGCCAGGGAGCAGGGTGGCAAGGCAAGGTAGGTGGCAGCTGGTACAGGGCCCCGAATGGCGTGTTACAGAACTTTGACATTGTCATAGGGCAAAAGGAAGTCACTGAGAATTATTAATCAAGAGAATGACACAATCAATTTGTGTTTAAAATAATCAGTCTACGTGTTGTATGGAAAATAGGTGAATGGGGAAAGACTGAATGTAGAAAGAACTGCCAGGGGTTTACTGTAGCAGTTCAGATGACAAACGGGGACAGCCTGGCCTTGCTTAGTGGTAGACGGAGAAAGGTAGACTGATACAGGAACTATCTGGGAGGAAATGATGGAACTTGGGGACTGATTGGATGTGAGGAATGAAGGAGATGTGAAGAACTGCCTTTCAGAATTGAGCAACCGGTTAATATTCACTAAGACAGGGAATACTAGACTAGATGCATGTTTCTGGGGCTGGGGGTGACCGTTAGTTCCGTGTGGACATTTTGAACTAGTGCTGTCTGAGAGACACATAAATGACGCTGAGTAGACAACTGGATATACAGGTCTGGGGCTCAAGAGAAGTCTCGGTCAGGATAAGCATTGGGAGTCTTTGGTGTAGAGGTGCTGTGTGAAGCCACAGGAGTGGATGACATTGTCAAGTGGAGGGTGTGGACGGAGTAGAGGAGGTGGACAGTAATTGGACTCTGAGGCTAGTAGAAGAATGCGCTAGAGAGGGAGGAGGAGAACCTAAGGAGTGCAGTGTCATAGAAGCCAGCCAACATGGTCAGCTGTATTAAATGTTGTTGAAAGTAAATGGAAGAATGTGGTACATGCCAAAATGTGTGTCCACGGTCCACCAGCATTCATGACAGAGGAAGGGGACTATATTTGCTTGGGGTGGAGAGTGGGGTTTTCAGCAATTTCTCAGAAAATAGATTCTTGAGTTAGAACAGCGTCAGTGATTTATGTGCTGACCTACTGGAAACCCTTCTCCTGCAGGCCGAGACGCATCCAGGGCGTTTGTGACGGGGGACTATTCTGAAGCAGGCCTTGTGGACGATGTATCTGACTTGTCATTTTCTGAGATGCTGACCCTTCAAAATTGGCTGTCATTCTATGAGAAGAATTATGAATTTGTTGGTAGGTATTCCATAAGTGATTTCCAAAGATTTCATGTAGTTTTCTTGCAAGTTTTTAAGGAACTAAAAGTCTTTAGGGCTTTGGACTCCAGATTAAAATCTGAAAAGTAGCCATGGACTTTTCACCTTAAACTCCAGTTGTTAGTGTAGTAGTGAGTCCCGGAGGGAAATGGCTTGGGAACCCATCTCCCTCCCTCTTAACCTTGGGTGAGGGTTGCCTGCCCTCTCCAGCAGCCAGGGAGCTTCAGCCTCTCTTGCTGCACAGCCAGCAGCTGATGACATCACCCTGAACCATGAGCTCCTGGGCCGCATCTTCCCTGTCTCCTGCATTCTGGGCATCTGGCTTCAGTACACAGTCAGGAAGGCTTGGAGCCTAAGTTTGTGTGCAGTTTTGACAAATATCCTTTTTATTTTGTCCTCTAAGAAGACAAACATTACCTTGTGTCCATCCTGAGTGAACTGTGTCCCAAGGGGAAGGTTTGCTAATCAGCAGTTGTTAAAGCCGGTTGTGTAGGGCAGGGGTCCCCAACCTCTGGGCTGTGAATTGGTCCTGGTCCTGCCCTGTTAGGAACCAGGTCACACAGCAGGGGGTGAGCTTAAATCATCCCCAAACCATTCCCTCCACCCCGGCCTGTGGAAAAATTGTCCTCAAAACCAGTCCCTGATGCCAAAAAGGTTGGGGACCACCGGTATTGGGCGCTGTACTTGCTACTTATTGGTGAGACACGGGAGAACTAACCTTTTAAAGGGAAAGACACTTACCAGTGTCAGTCCCAGAAACTGGGTAGCTGCGGTCCACTGCAGGCCTGACCACTCCCTGGAGCCCAGCTTGGGCACTGCCGACTTTCCCCTTTGGGACACGTCTGCACTGGAAGAGTTCTTCCTCGGCCCCTGACATCTCTGAGTGACTGCTTCTGTCATTACTACTTGGGTCACCTTTTCTGAGAACCTTGCCATTTTCACTCTCGCCTCTGCTCCCTCCATGTCCGGTGGCCATGGCTGTTTTCATGACTCTCAGGTTGTTTTCATCCCCACCCCCACCCACCGTCCTTGGCCCTTGTCAGCCCAACCCGTAGCACCCCCGCTTGGTTTCCACCCAGTCTGCCCCAGTGCATTCCGAGACCACGGTCATGTCTGCCGCTGAAGGAACCAGCCTCTACCCATCTGCCTTTCAGAAGGCTTGGTTCTCCCTTTTTCCCATGAGGTTGGCAAACCAAGGCTGAAACATTACTGGTTAATAAGGAAAAGAACCCCAACACAAAAGAGTAAGAATGGAGTCCTTTGAGTAGGCAGAGTGTTCTAATAGTGTGATGTGAGGGTGGGGGAAGGGGGAGGGGGTTGTATAGTTGGAAATGCTTCCAACTAAGGATTTGGGTTAGAGTCAGGATATACCTGAGCGTCTACTATGGCTAAGCTATAGTTCTGGTCCTGGCGGGGACCAGGGAGGAGCTGAGTGCAGTTCCTGTCCTCTGTTGGCCCATTCTCTTGGGGGCAGGGGTTGTGTCAGGCTCACTCATGGCACCAGAAAGGCTGAGGACACGTCAGAGGATGAAGCTGTCTTATCCGGGTGCACACTGAGGTGAAGACCAGCAGAAAACCATCTTGGCAGCCACATGGCCAGGCCTCAGGGGAAAATGGGAAGATGTCTTCTGTTGTTTTCTGGGTATAGCACTGGTTTGGAGACCCGGCCAGCGGTGACCACCCTTCTTAAGACACAGCTGCTACAGCTCTGTCTGCGTTGCCTGTACCACTGCTGCTGTCTCCTCAGGTCTCATGTCTAAAGTCACCAAAACAGCCTTGTCATCATGCATATGGGGGCCCCGTGTAGGAGAAATTCTTATGCCAGGCCGACGAGACCGCAGGCCTGAGACTAGGCCCTGAGCCCTTCGTTTATTCTCACAAGCACAGCGAATGCTCGGCACTAAGCTATTTGGGTTGCTGGGGCCTCAGGGTAAAGTAACAGATCAGACAAGTCCAGACAGGACTGTGAATAAAATAAACCCGATGAGATGCATGTTGCGTGGTAGGTGGCACCTTCAGAGAAGTTGGCCAGGGCGGTAGGTCTCTCAGAGGAGGTGACAGTTGAGCTGAGACCTAGAGGGTGAGAAGGAGCCAGCCACCCTGAGATCTGGAAAGGAGTTTTTCAGCTGAGGGGACAGTAGTACCTGAGGTGGGGAGCACCGAGGGGACATGATGTTCATGTTTTCGAGTGATCGCCCAGCTGCGGGCGATCACTTGTGGGAGAAAGAACTGGGAAGGGATGAGCTGAAGAGACACCAGCTGGGAGGCCACTGTTGTAATCCATATTCAGAGCAGGGCAGGAGCAGTAGAACGTGGAAAGACTAGAGTCGGTGTTTTTTAAAGGTCGGACTGACAAAACTTGCTAATGGATTAGACACAAACAAATGGAAGCCTACATTGGCTGTGACGGGGGCGGCAGCAGAGAGACCCAAGACTCCTAATCCGGAAGTAAAATAAATACAGTTGGCAAAGTCTGCAGAGGGAGCTGAACTTGAGAGGATGAACTGAATCATGGTGCACTGAGTGTAAGTGCCACTGGAATCTAAGTCAGTTCTCAGGGACTGAAGAGGTTGGACAGGTGTGGCTGGGGCAGGTATATGCTGCTGCCTCCTCCTGCCTGGTCAAAGCTCCTAGAAGTGCTTTCTGCTGCTTCTGTTGCCTTGTGACAGCTGCCGCCTGTGAAGGCCACTTACACTCAGGTCTTAGAGACAAAAGTTCCTGCACATAAAGAGAACTGAGCCCTTTTGGGCTTTGGCTCTCTGACCACTTGCTGGACATTGCCATAGCTTCCACTTTTACAAATTCCAGCAGGGATTTTATCTCAATCCAGTTTGCACTCACTATGTCCACTGAGAGACTGAGCAAGAGAACGGTGGGGGGGGGGGCAAGAACTCGCTCCTGGGGTCAGACCCACTCACTAGTTCCGTGGACCCTCCCCTTCTGTGAATGCAGGAACAATGGCTACTGTCTCATAGGTGGTTATGAGGTTAACAAAATATCAGTGAAGTGCTAGCTTGGCACCTGACACTGAGTAAATGCTCAATAAGTGATTTATTTATAGTTGGCTGAGACAGAACATTTCAGTATTGGGAAGAATTGAGCCACAGAGTTAGGCAGTAAGCCGTTTATCTGTCAGCCATTCACTGGGGCACCGTGTGCCTCAAGCACGGTGGAGCCCTGAAAAATGAATTGCACATGGTTCCACTCTCAGGGACTGATGTCTGGAAGTGACTCAGTTTATGGTTTCCTCATCAGAAGCCTCTTCAGCTACAAAAGGGGTGCTTCTGTGTGGAGTCTTGTCAGATGTTGAGAGACGCCAGGACAGAAGGGGCCACACGTACTTCCGGTGTGAGTTCCTAAGATGTAAGCACGCAGCGGGCCACTGTGGAGCCTGAAGTGGGAAGCCCTGGGAACTTGAGTATTACAGCACCTGCTCGAGAAGCTGAGCCTCTCCTCAGTGGCGCTCCCTCCCAATGTTACTGACATTCGGCTTTCCTGTCACCACAGGAAAGGTGACAGGAAGGTTCTATGGAGAGGACGGGCTACCTACCCCAGCACTGACCCAGGTGGAAGCCATGATCAGCAAGGGCTTGGAGGCAAACCAACAGGCACTGAAAGACAAGCACAAGTTTCCGCCATGCAACTCGGAGTGGAGCTCAGCCAGGGGTGGCCGGTTCTGGTGTTCCCCAGACAGGTAAGCGGGCTTCCCGCTGCTGCTCTCTGTCTCTCTCCCGCCCAGCTTCTAGGTCGTCATGTTCTTCAGTGAAGCCAGAGTTGTTAACCCAGGGGAACTTTCTCAAAATACATGTGCTTTGGGACAGTGATTCTCTCCTTTGGCTACATATTAGAATTGTCTGGGCAATTAAAAAATGTCACTGAAAGTGGCTCTTCATTCCAGGCAACTGGATGAGAATAGTAGGGTTGAGATCTGGGTGTCTTTTTTTCCCCCCACTTTAAAAAAAATTCCCCATGACTGAAGAAGCCCTGGCCTGGGAATGCAAAGGCACAAGTACTGTTTTTTCACTTGCTTTGGCCTGTTCATCCAGCCGAGGGCGTGGGCTTCCTACGTTTCGGCATAGATTAGTCCTGCCTATAGGAGATGGTGAGGAGGTGGGCATGGCCACTTGCAATGATGCCGAGGTGCCATCTTAAAGACCCTGCCAGTTCTGAGTAATTCCAGGAAGCACAGGCTAGGTGGAGAAGCCCTTTCCTGTAAGAAGGGAATCGAGGTGAGCCAGGTTAGAATGGATGCTACAGGGATCATTCCAGGTTGGTTTGGGGAAGTTGGAGAGAAAAAAATGTCTCCTTTAATCATCAGGCCAGCCTGCATTCAAATACAGCTCAAATCCCTCAAATCTCCTTTAGCTCTGATAGGGGAAAAGGAAGGCAGAAACTGACAAACTCCTCAGCCTCAAGGGCCTCAAAGAAAGAGCCTAGCTCTCCCTAAGGAGGGGTGGGGAGACCTGCTGTTGCTTAGCAGAGAAAGGCCGCTCCTCTGAGTGCTAAGTTGTGTAGATCCACCCTCTTCTGCCAGGAGAGACCATGCCTTTTGTTCTTGGGCTGATGTTAAGCCACCAGCCACCATATCCATCACACACTTCCTCTGCCTTCACTCGGGAGCAGGGGTGAGAGCAGCAGGAAGGAGAGCCCCTGCTCTCCTGGCCACCAGTTTTGAAGAGACAGCTTCCCCATGTTATCACACCTCCAGAAAGCAGAACCTGGACTGCCCACGTCAGGGAGAGGAGATAGAATAAAGGTGAGCCTTGCTGGACTGCAAGCCTCAATGGCTTCCAAGAGCACTGGTCCTCTGTGGGAGGACCCAGAAGCCTGTGTGCATTTCAATGCTTGACTTTGCTGGCTTGGAGGGCCTACCCCCCTCTCTGGCCCCACAGCCCTCATCTCTGTCTTTGCTTAACCGCTTCTTGCTTTCATGACTGAATTGCTTAGGCTCAGCCTTCCCCCCAGAGCTCTTCCAGATTAGCCAGCTCCAAGGAGTCTGGCGCCATGCCTGTGCCTCAGTGCACTTTGTGGTTTTCTGCACCTGTCTCTTCAGACTGGGAGAAGGAAGCCCTGAAGGCAGGGACTGGGTGTAGAGGAATGTTCACCAACAGTGAGATGGATGATTGGAAGGAAGGAAGGAGGGAGGTATGTCAGTGCCTTTCCCTAACAGCCTTGCTCTTGGGTCAGCTCCAGGTGGGTGGGCTTCTAACTGGGTGGCAGAGTTTCTCCAACGGCAGGTGACTCTGAGCCCAGGCACTGGAACCCATATGGGGTATCAATTCCAAGAATATCTTTTCCCTTTTGCAAGGCTTGTGAGTCCGTGGGAGACTAAAGAAGTACCCTGAGTCAGGTCCCTCTGCCCAGGATAGGAGGTTGCTCAGACTGTGTTGGGCCAGGTGACATCAAAGACTGTGCCTGTGCAAGGGGCAGGAAAGGGCCTCTCAGAGAAGGCTGACCAGCAGGCCTCAATTGTCCGCCCCTGCCCAAGTGCCAAAGACCCTGAGGCCAAGACACAGCCCAGCTCTAGGATGTAGCAGGGAAGGGAGGAGAGAATTGAGTCTGGCACTGCTGTTGAGAAGCTCACAGGCCAGTGGGGGAAAGCTTTTCCTGGGTGTTACCACCCATGCAGGGAGCACTGGCCCTACCACAGGGCAGGGGAGGCAGGAGGAAGTCAGGAGAGCACCGAGGTTCAGAGGCTGAACACAGCAGAGTGCCACCTATGGGAGATGTCAAGATAGCAAGTAAAATCACCTCTGCTTTTCACTGGGCTTGGCTCACTGCTTCCTCCTCTCCCCTTCCCAGACAGACTCATAAGTTCATGCTTCTAAGAAGTGACCCTCCTTTCCTTTTGTCTTCAGTGGAGGTGTGAGCAGAGACTGGACTGGCGTCCCCAGGAAGCTCTATAAACCAGGTGCCAAGGAGCCCCACTGTGTGTGTGTGAGAACAACTGGCCCTCCTAGTGACCAGGCGCTGGACAACCCTGCACACAGAAATCGTGGGGACTTGGATCACCCCAACTTGGAGGAATATCCAGGCTGCCCACCCCTGTCCATGGCATGCTCCTTCCCACTCTAAGTTGGTGCCCTTGCCTCGTGGGCCCTAGGATGGCCCCTGACTTCAAACAAGTGGGCCCAGAGGGACCAGCCTCTGCAGATGTGACCCATGACCCCTCACCATGGGATCACCTTTCTGGTGACCAAGGCAACCCGCCTAGAGCTTGGCAACCCACCTAGTACTGGTCAGCTTGGTTTTGCCACTCTTCCCCTAGATCTATTTGGCATCCTCCTTCAGAGCCCTCAGATATAATGGGCACTAATATGACCAACTCTGAACTAACTGGACAGACGACAAAGCGTCCTGAGCTCCAAGAACTAACTTCCCACGGACTCGTAGGCTGCCCAGATCAGCTGCTGGTCCGGTGAGTGGCACTAGCAAAGAGGGACTGCATCATTCCTTACAACTCAGAAATAGGACAGTACATCCAGAAAAGGCTAAATAATAATTATAAGAAAGAACAGCACCAACCTTTCTTATATGTGAGACTCTCTTGTAAGGCAAACTGAATCTGTAACCAAAAGCTGCACTGAGTTGGTGTGAGCGGGGCACCACAGTGGAAGGGGACAATGAGAGAGAAAAGGGTGTTTCTGGGGGTTGGAAAAGTTTTTGCTCGTATGGATGCAGCAAATCCAGATGCCTCTTTTAAAGCAAGGATATTGCTTCTCTTTTAAACACTTAACATTAGGTGTGGTGTGTTTTCAAAGGGAAAGCTCGGCATTTTTGGCAAAATGTATTTTAGAGCTCTTACAAGGTAACTAACTGGTTAGCCCAACAGCAAAGTTTGGGCAAGGCTGCCAACGCAAACAGCCTCAACGTGAGGTGGCTGGGCTTGCAGAGCTTCTCACCACACCTTGGGTGGTGTCCAAGGTCATCTGTAATCTACCCTTGACAGATTTCATGTCCATTACCTCCTGGCTTCTTAACTGCTTAGGTAGAGGGAGTGAGGGTATTCCTACTTCACAGATAAGGAAATGAAGCCTCGTGGTTTACAAACTCCTGGTCTCTCCTCATCTGAGCCCTCACCTCAACTTCTTTCCCAATTCCCTCAACTCTTATTTACACAGTCTGTATTCTTCCTTTCTTTCTCTCCCCTATCATTAATCTCAGTGAATAGCTTTCCAGATTCCCTGACCAGAAAATAGAGGCCTCCTCCCCTCCAGGGCCATCACTGGCCACGGCTGTTCCTGATGCAGGACTCTGCTCTCCACTCCTTTTACCCCACCCCCCCTTCAGATCTTCCTCACCTGCCTTTCCTGGACCTTTGGCCTCTTCCTGCCTCCTGGTTCCCTGCCCCCTCCACCATCATAAATAAAACACTCCTTCAGTAACACCAAGTGCTGCTGCAGCAGGAAGACTGTCTGTCTATTCCTGTCACAGATGAGCTTTTTGAAAAAGCAGCAGGAACTTGGTAGCCTTGCTGCTCAGCCCCACTCACCCGGCCCCTGTCCTTCCCTGCTCACAGCACACCTCCTGTATTGGCAGATCCCGTGGTTTCCTTGAAAGCTGCCTCTCCTCCACGAACCCCTCCCACTCTGGTGTCTCACTCCCACCTCAGCTACCCTGTCTCTAGTCCAGACGCCTTCCCTGCGCTTCCTGAATGTTTCTGGAGGCACCTCGGCGGCACCATTCTGGCATTGTCTCCGCTTTCTCTCTAGTGATTCTGTGAGCTCCCCCTGGTGATGGTCCCACCAGCACCATCCATACCCAGCTGCAGGAGGTAAGAACCCTTCCTCTCCTGTCCCCCTCCTCCCAACTGTCTGCACTTTGCAGCCACTCCACCTCCTTAGTTCGCCCCCTCCCATCCCCAGTCCTCTGATTTAGGCTGTCCTCTCTCACCGGGATTACTGCAGGAGTGCAACTCTGCTCCCTGCCTGCAGCCTGCCTTCCATACTGCTGTGAGCCGTCGTCCTTCATGATGACCAGGGCAGTTCCCCATTTAAACCTCTTCTGTGGCCCACCGTATCTACCAGGATCAAGGGCTGACGCTTCAGCAGTGTGGCACATGAGGCTCTTCTGTGGCTTGTCTCCTCTCAGCTTTGATCCCCCTGCCCCTTGCCCACCGTTAGCCTCACTGCATTGAGCCTTCATTCGGGCTCTCTTCTGCCTGAAGTGATAGCTCTTCCTCTGCTCGATTGGTCTACCTCTTATCCTCAAAACTCGGCTCAATCAGCACCACTTGGGACCTTTCATTAACCACTGGCCCACCAGTTGGATTTATTTTTTAAAGATTGTGCTTATTTTTAGAGAGAGGGAAAGGGAGAGATAAAGAGGAAGAGAAACACGGACTGGGACTGGTCACCTCTCCTAGGTGCCCTGACCCGGAACCAAACTGGCAACCTAGGCATGAGCCCTGACTGGGAACTGGTGACCTTTCACTTTGTGGGGTGACACCCAAACGAGCCACACTGGCCAGGGCCCACCAGTGGGATTCAGATGCACTTCCCCCTAGGTTCCCATGACAGTGCCCATGTGTTCACTCCTCATATAACCAGTACCGGTGTCCTGTAACCATGGATTTCCTTTCAGCTCTCACACTACACTGCAGACTCTTTGAGAACAGAGGTCAAGGGCTACTGGGTTCTGTACCCCTGTAGCCACAGTACCTAGAGTACATGGTAAGTGTGCAGCTCCAGAAACTTAGTAAGGGCACAAAGCAGTGGAACTGAGCCTAGAACTCAAGGTTCCTGTCCCGATTCAGTGCCATTTTCACTCCTCCATAGTTTGGTACATCTCCGCCCTCCCTGGAGCAGGAGCGAACAGAAAGGAGGGCTCAGATTAGAGCCTTGTTCTTTGCTCCATACAGCCCTTGAGCTCACTCAGCCCCTGCCTCAGGCATCCCTGGTCATTGGAAGCAGCTTCCAATTCCAGGCTAACTAACTGGGAACTCGTCACTGCCACCGCTCTCCTTATCCTTAGTCACAACAAATACAGGGTCCAGCACAAGGAATGCCCCTTTTAATCACAAAATCTTTTACTACGAAATCATAAGCATGTAATTCTGTAACATAACAGTATCACACTCAAGCACACTATGTGACATTTTACATGCACTGCTCAAATTAAAACTATAGATTATTACACCCATATTATTACCCTGGCAACCACACTGAAATGAAGCAGGTGTTACTTCTGCCGGACCCTGTATTTACCAAGCCCCTCTGTGCCATGGGATGAGTGATGGGAGGAAAGTGAGGCTCCTGACCTCTGGGAGCTCACAGTATGGTAGAAATGCAGGGAGAGTGTGCGGGCCAGGTCCAGAGATGCTCAGACCCTTCCAAAAGCAAACAAAAAGAAGCAAGACCATAGCACCCTTCGAGTCCTCCCAGCCAACTGTGGACTCGAGAGGCACTAGAAGTTGCCTAACCTCGGCCAGGTGCAGGCCCCTGAGCCCACGCTGCAGGGCATACTCAGCCAGCCGCAGCAGGCAGTGGCTTCCTTCCTCAGTGAGAACTTTCTCTTTGATGCCAACCACTCACATTATAGTATAGAGCTTCCTCATGAAGGGCCAGTGGGGGAAATTTCAAGGGACCCAGCAAGAGCAGGCTGTCATTTCAGGGGTCCGAAGGGCTTAGCCATGGAAGGGAGTGGTAACTGGAGAAATTTCTTCCCTCCCCAGTGGAGGTGGCCCTGGGCAATATATGGAGGAGGAAGGCAGTCCTCTGAGGAAAGCCACAAAGTTCAGCTCAGACAATTAAGACTTGCTGGTAGAGGGGAGTGGAGAAGAAAACATACATGTTGGGCATCTCTGCTGGGCAGGGAGCTTTAACATCCATGCCAGCCTGAGAGGGTCTCATTTTATGGTCCAGAAAAGGGGCGGAAACCCCCCACTGCCCCAGAACTTTGAATGGTTACAGCTGTCATCGAGGGGCAGAGCTGAGCTGTCTTAAAGCAAAGGTGGGTGGCTGCTCTCCAACATGCTGAAGGAAGTTGTGACATCTGCCACCTTTGCGTTCTAAGATACCAGTTTTCTAGAAACATGGAGTTGAGAGTGAAGAGCCCAGGATTTTTTGGTCACAGCTTAGCCAGTGCATAGCCACACAGCCAAAGGCACAGTATCTGTCCATCACCTCTATCCATTGCTTGCTCAGCTCCGGGACAAGCTGTGACCTGCATTGCCCCTCAGAGGATTACCCTGGGCTGAACCCCCACCCTCAAGAGCACTGCCTACTGCTTGAGTTCCCAGATTCCTACAAGTAGACAGCAGACATTGCTCCCGTCAGCCCTCGCTGGAGGGGCTCTCGGTGTGTACACCAGAATTTGTGAACTCTCATGAAAGGAAGGACATATTGCTGATCGTCTTCCTCAAGGCAGTCCTGTGAGCTGAAAAGGACCACGGTCATTTCCACTGCATAGACCCACAGACTACAACAGACTCAATGACAAAGCAGAACAGAAACCTAGTGCACTTCCCTGGCTGAGCAAAAATGTGTGAAAGTGGAAATGTGTGAAAGAGGCTGGTTCCCGTTTGTATTCCCGTACTGACATAACACAACTGGCGTTTACCTCAAGGATGGCTGTTAGGATTACTTGGGAGCACCTGACAGTTCCTATTACCATGAGGAAAGCCACCAAAGAATGAGATCTATCATCATAGCTGGTCTGAACTAGGGGTGAGCAAAAATGGAAGGCAGGTAAAGAAAGGGAAGACATTTATTAGCTCAAAAAAAATGTGAGGGCCAAATGAACTAGTAGATCTGTACAATTGGGCAGGGGCTTTGTGGGTCACTAGATTTTAATCTGCAGGCCCCTAAACCTTCTTTAGTGTTCTATGAAACCCACAGTGCCAGCCCTCCCTTCAGATGAAGACCAGCAGAAGACTCGCGGTGCCTGGGTCCTCTCGGGTTGCTCCTCAGTACTGGAGTCGGAGAGGGAATTTGCGGGCTCCTTTGGTGAGCGTCAGTGGGGTCCAGTGAGGGCGATGATGCAGCCGTGATCACACACTGCCATGCTGAAGCCTGGGCCGAGAGCATACTAAATCCAGGTAGCTGGTTATTAGTCCTAAAATAGCTACTTTTTGATTCTGAAAAGTGCTAGAAATTCAAGCTTTCCTGAAGAGTAGCTGGTAAAGAAATTAATCACATGAGTTTTTAAATTTGTTTGTTTAATGCTTATTGGTACTTCTGCAAGAAAAGTTAACTACAAATGTATTAAAGTTTCCACTTTGAATGCACAATTGTGCCTCACTTTATTATAAGGAATTGTTACAGAAAATGCAAATATCAGTATTTGAAAAATACATTCCATTACACAGACTCCAAAGAAACAATGCTGATGAGCGCCATGGTCCTGTATGATGTCATCACCCCACACTGAGCACCACCCTGAATGGCTTGAAAGCCAAGGTGGTCAACCCAAATGTGCTCCTGCACTTTCTGCCCAGCTCCTGCCCTTTGCCTTAACTGCCAACTCTCCACATCTGCCAAAGAAGAACAAAGCATTAAGTCAAACAACCTGCCAACTTGAGACTTTCTCGCTACAGAAGACCAGTGTTGTCAGCTGTAACAGGTTGGTACATTATCTACTCCACACAGACAGGAACCGTACAGGCAATGATCTAACAAAGTCTTTAAGGCATTTATGATAACGTCTGGGAATTTAATAATGTTTAGTTACTATCTTGTCAGACTATCAGCTCCTCACTGAATTACTTCCACAAAATGAGAATGTGGCTCCCAAACCTCTTTAGAAAGTTGTTCCCCTCTGCCCAGCAGGGAGTGGGGAGCGCTGGTACTTCCAATCATGAGGGCTGGGCTTGTCCCGAGGGAAGCAACCCCAGGTCCCAGAAGGAAGCTTGTTGAGGGTTCCTTCTCAGTCTCAACCTGTGACTCCATGTGGATCTGTTACTTGGAAGAGTGTTACTTGCTCAGGCTGTCACCTGGGGAGTTACTCTGCCTTCACGTATAAGCATTACATAGTTCGACAGTTGTTCTTTTTCTCCAGATGAGAGAAACCAGGATGGAGATCAAGACTCTCCCCATCTCAAGACTTCCCCTCCATTCCATGCGTACGGACAAGACCAGCACAATACCGTTCAACACAGTAGGTGGGGGGCATGAATTGGGAGCGGTGGTGGTCCCACAAGCACACTGAGCTCCATGCAGGGACCCCATTCAGGGAGAAGAGTGAGGAAGCTGAACAGGGCAGTCAGAAGTGACTCAGGGCTCTGAGGTAGAGGACTAACAGTCACAGGGACCCCACTCTTGGAGAGAATGTGCCAGGCGGGCTGAGCAATCTGCTCCGGCTTCCACTAAGTTGGTCATTCGGGCTGACAGTGCACAGGCAACACACTCCCAATGGAGCACGTGTTCTAGCACATCAACCAGTGAGACACCACTACAAAGATAACCGACAATTTAAGAAGTCCTACGTGGAGGCACTTAAGTTTGTGGGAAATTTCTGTGTTAGAGGATCATACCAATTTAACCATTAAATGTATGTATAGCACATAGTTTATTCCTTCGTCTTAAAAAAAATTAACACAAGAGACATTTAAAAAGCTAATTCAGCGTAACGGTGTTAACTGATGCAGAAAATTATGTTTCAAGAAAGTTTATTCTTCCTGTTCTACTTATTCACAACTGGCAATTTTCTGAATGAATAAAATTAAGTTTTTATTACTAGTATTTAAGCTATGAATTAAAACTTAACAAGAACAAGCTGGAGTTCTGTAGTCAAGTCTTGTCATCTTGGAGAGCACAACAGGACTGAGAGCATGAGAAGTCCCAGTTGGGGCAGTGCATGGGAGGGCTACAGGGCAGCCCCGCTTGGGGAGACTGGGGAGTGGGGTCCAGGGAGCATCACCAGGTCAGGGACATTTTCTAAGGCTGTGGAAAGGTGCTTTTTCTAGGTCTACAGACACGCCAGTGCAGAGCGCACACAATGTGCCCCTACTCGGTGGCTGCTCAGTACCATAGCTATCCTAGACTCTGAAGAAAGAGAAGCATGACTCCACGTAGCTGAAACATGATTGTAAGTGCAATCAGAGGCAAGACTGTTACTGGTATGGGCGGGCAGGGGCAGGACAGTCAGCCTCATCCCTGACTGCATGCCCATCCTCTGTCCACCGGGAACATTAAGAGAACAAGTGTAAAAGTACCGGCCACCTCATCTCGTATCTGAAGCATAACCGTCTTGCTTCACACAGTTAAAGAACCAAGCCAGCTGAGCCTTCCTTCCCTGTGGCCCTCTTCAGGCAACAATAGAAAATGGAAACTGACCACATGCCCCACATGGTCAAAAGTTTGCCTAGACTAGTTGTTTTTCTATAAAAATTCTATAGGAAATGTCACAGACTTTTAGTTCGCCAGCTCTTCTAATTTTTCTTTTAAACATTGTGCACAAGCTCATATTAACATACAAAGCATATATATCTTATAAATCACAGGAATATTAAAAAAAAGTAGCACTCAGGTTTATCAGCTCATTTTACACACATATTTAGGCAACAGAATGTATAAATGTACAGCGAGATGGAGGACATATCACTTTCCAAAAACAAACAAACAAAAAAGCAGGCTGTTGCAAAAAATATTTAGTCCCTTTTACACATATCCATACTTCATGAACGCAGAATGTAGTGGTTATTAAATGTCTGGAAAATCAGTATGTACAATTGAGACTGTTAATATCTGAGTATAACAACAACGCATATTCACCTCAGAATTTTCGTTTTTAAAGCAGTGGTAAAAGTTTCTTTTCAAATGTGCAGTTTAACCTCAGGGGTAATGCATGTACTAGCAACGACTAAGGCCCAGTAAGCTCTGGGGCCTCCTTCACTCCCACACCAGAGCCTTCCCGAACCAGGTCACACACATCTGGCCAGGGCTTCAGCTGCTGGCTCTTACTGGGCAGGACAAGCTCCACAGAACCGGGACCTGGGACGGACAGCACTCACAGCATAACTAGGGAAGGTTTCAGCAAGCAGCATTCACGTCGAAGAGATAGGACCTTCCAGCCTGAGGCTAGAGACCCCCCTTCTCATCCCTTGGCCTGTGTGACTCTCTTGCTCCAAGTGACACTCTGCAGGAGCACAGATGCATGGATGTACTTTTTGAATATGGGTTTTTACATTGGAATCACCAGTAATGAAGCTATATAAAAAGTGCAGCACAATAAAAGTGCATTTCCCCCACCACTCCCTAGTGGCAGAGCAACGGAGGTCCACAGACAGGACACGGCAAGATGAGAGGAGGGGACGGCTGCTAGGAGGTGTCAGGCTGCCCAACCGCACTAAGGACACCTGAGTAGCATGAACACTAGTAAAGCTTTCAGTTGTTAAGGCCACAATGTTTCAGCTCTCATCTCTGAACCCTGTTTAGAAAGATTTCACCTTTTTTTAAAGGGGTAGCTCACTATAAATACAGCTTAGCTTTAAAAAAAAAATGATGATGAAGATTTCGGGGTGATCCTATAATCTTTATGAAAACACTGTGCAGACAAGTCCAAAGCCACTTACCCTAGAGTAAAGCCAGCTCTCACGGAGCAGCCAGACACCAGCTTCCTACTGCTATGCTCTGCCCAGGAAGTCTGCCCAGGCAGGAAGACCACGAATGCTCTGAGATGGACACTAGGCTACTGGGAGGGAAAGTGATTTTCAAAGTGTTCTTGTATGTTGCTAGCAGAATGGGGTCTAATTTCTACCATGTTTACCACCTAGGCAAATGGCCTGGTCCAATTAGTGAGAAATCTACCGAACTCAATCACAGTCTGACAAACGGACAGTCGTACAGTCATCTGAAACGGGGTCTATCACACCATGGTCCTCAATCGTCTGTTCCACTCCACTGCCAAAGACGCCTGCCAGCTCCTGCTCTGGGTGGGGTCAGGCTGGTGAGCAGAGCAGCTGCTGGGGAGGTGACTGGGAGGTGGCCTGGACCCTCCTAGGGGCTAAGAGACGCCGCCCAAACTTAGTACATCAAAGCAAATGTTGCAGACTCGCACAGCCTTGTTCAGATCAAACTTTATAATGGGAATCTCCTTGGTCGAACATTTATGGCAAAGAAGACGTCCGCAATGACGGCTGTGGAAGCAAAGAAAGGAACCATGAGAGGGGAGCTAAAGAGTAGCCAGCTCCCCAGAACAGGGACAGCCACACTGTCCGCCAAATGACATTAATGCATGTGGAACTTTTCGTCCATGAAAACAAAGCTCCAGTCATAATTAAGTTAAAGTGACTTTGGAGAAGGCTTTCTCCAAAGATTAAGACAACTTAGCAATAGCCAAAGAACTGTCTTGTGCTCATGGGAACAGCTCCTCAGTCCCCCGCCCCCCCCCCCCGGCCTCACCCAAGGAAATGCCCACTGATTTCAGAGAGAGGGAGAGAAACGGTGATGTGAGAAACATCAAATAGTTGCCTCCCATGTGCTCTGACTGGAACCAAACCTCACTGGGGACTGAACCTATAACCTGGGCATGTGCCCTGACTGGGAATCGAACCCAGAACCTTTCAGTTTATAGGAGGATGCCCAACCAACTGAGTCACATGGGACAGGGTAGCAGTCCTTGGGGAAGCAGCCTGAGCTCCAGCTGGGAAGCACAACGTCCAGGGCAACAGCAACTCAGCTCAGCTCTGCAGCAGGCAGAAAGCCTGGGAAGGTGACACAAGCCTGACAGGCTACCCGGGACCCGTGAAACCCAGCATTCAGCAGGAAAGCCATCAGTCTGAGTGTCCCCTGCCCTCATGTCACTACAGGTGTGCCCAGTCCTGTCATTTCATCACTCTACTTGGCCAAGTTTTGCCCAGGAGAGTGCAGGGGCCTGGAAAGTTCATGGCTTATCATGGAAAAAGTTAGAAGCAATGCCATCAGCAGAAGTCCCCTCACTCCTCTGGCAAGTGATGCTGGGGGTTCTTACCAGTGATGCTTACGAATCGTGACTCCGAACTTGGCAGTGCACTCGTAGCAGTTGGAGCCGTCACACCATGGGGGCTCCTTGGACAGCATATCTGTAAGAGTAGGAGAAGACCAGTTCCTGTCAGACAGTGACTGTGCCAGGCTAGACTCGAGGAGTTTAAGATGAAGCAGGGAAAGAGACCAGTAAATAAAAGGACACACTACAGAGTCACACGAGGGATGAGGGAGCAATACACTCTCATTGTGGCAGGGAAAGCATCACAGAGAGAATATGTGGAACTAACATTTGCTAGACAGACCAGGGGAGAAGGAAACAGCAGCCAAGTCTGGGGGAGGGGGCAGCAGGAAATACAAGGCTGGAGTGTGAGGCACACTGAGGAGAAAGCAGAGACCAACAGTTAGAAAGACTGGCAGGTACCCAAAGGTAAGAACGAACAGGAGCAGGCAGGAGACAGGTGATTCCTAGGTGTAGATGGAGTGGCTGAGCCTGAGGGGAGACCAGCAGAGAAGAGACATAAAAGGAAGAACCAGAGCAGATGCGGAGTTCACTTCTGAGTCTGCACAGGCTGTGGAGCACTGGGCCGGTCATTACTGGTGCAGGTAACAGCAACAATCACTAGTATTTTACTGGACGCTAACTCAAAGCCAGGAGCTGTTCTGAGAGCTCTCTACACCGACTGAGCTCACATGGAGGAGGCAGCAGTGAATCACTCATTCCCGAGCACCTGCTACAGACCAGCACTGTACTGAGCACTCAGAAGTCTGACCAGTGCACGCAAACAGACCAGATATCACGGAAGCACTGGGATTCAGTGCTGGCTCTGCCACCAATCAGCTTTATGACTTCTGGCAGGTCACCTACATCAAAATCACACAGCTATAAGATATTTCTGAGCTCTTTTCTCTTGCTCACAAGGTGGGGCTAATAACCCCTGTTCTATGTGCATCATGGGAGATGACAGCACAGCGACACACAGACATGTGAGGCATTCTGAGTCTTCCTGCCACCTCAAAGGGATGAAGAAAGACTTGCAAATATTAAACTATCAAGAGTGAAGCACTCCTCTTCACAAAGGAAGCAGAGAAAACAAAAATCAGTAGGAGCTGAACACAGGCTACTCTGAAGGAGGCAGAGAATCTGAATCAGCTGAAGGAAGAAGGGTGTACAGATAAGCAGCCATGACCCGAGGGAAGGGTGACCTGCCTACAAGTTTTCTGGGACCTGCCTTATGGATTTGTGGGAGCATCGGGGGAAGTGGGAAACCAACAGGGGCCCCAAAGTGGGCACTCTGAAAAGAGACTGCTGATAGTGACCCTCTCACCACTGTGCAAAGACCCTTCATGGCATTCACAGAAAGAGTGCTGTGTGGTGCCCGGAAGACTACTGGTTCAGATCTTGGAGGAAGTCATTATGAGACTTAAAGATCATGGACCCATCTAGACAATCAGCAAAGAACTGGGCTTGCGGTGAAAGAGCGGAAGGCAGGCCACTCACCTAACAGTCTGAACAGAAGCTGCTTGGTGGCAACCTGGTAGTTGAAAATGTTGACCCCTTGGTTATTGTTCACCCCGAGGCGAGCCCCAGATCGGACGATGGCACGGCACAGGTTGGCATTCCCCTTCATGTATGCTAGGAGCAGCGCTGGAAAACAGAACCATAGGCAGGGCTATTTCCCACTTGTGCCAGGCCTGGCAATGACGAAGGGCTGGCAGAGGATGGCTGAGAATAGGACAGCCCCCTGAGAGGACATCTGTTAAGACAGTCCCCATTCTGTTAGGACACGCAGGAGCCCTGTGGCTCCAGTGAGACCTCCCCCCAGGAGATGGGTACCACCTTCTAGTCAAGGACCCAGCATGAGCCAGGGGACTCCAGAGCAGCTCTAGCTCTGGAAGGAAAAACACCACTGTCTGGGCGGCCCTCCTCTGGCAGGAACCAGCAAGAGGACAAAGCTCTTCTTACTCAGTGTAACTAAATCTGAAGACCTGTGGGGTGTGTACACAGGCAGAGAAAGGTCCGTGGGGGGAACAAGCTCCAGAAAATTCCTCTGACCCATGGAGTCTTTCTTCTCAGCAGCTGCAGGCCCACTGGGAGCTCACGCTCTGGCCGGGCCATCCTGCTGGCCCTTTTTACTAACAATTACAGAGAATAGCGGGTCCCCTCTGCTTACCTTTACCAGACACTTTGTTTAAATTCTTTCATTTAATTCCCTGAATAATCCAGTAAGGTAAGGTTTATTTCAAAGGAAGAAATGGGCATAAAGTTGCTGAAAAATTGATCTAGAATCACCCGCTAGAACATGATGGAGCCAGGTGTTTGTAACCAGGCCTTCTACGGCACCCAGTACCTGCCTGGCTGCCTGCCCCTGGAAAATGGTGCTCACTGGAGTTCTGTGCTGGGTCCAGCAGCTCCCTCCTAGGGCTGACTCCTCTGAAGCTCAGGCTCAGCGCAGTTGGCTTAAAAAACACACTTGTGTCTCAAGACCAAGAACTCTTCCCAAGGCCAAGAACTGATGACAAAATATTCAGTCCTGCACTAAAGTTCAGGACACCCCTTGGTGACCACATCTCTGTGAACGGCCACGAGAACGGCGAATGAATGGGAAGGCCGCGCAGCAAAGTGCTCAGAGAGCCCAGGACTGGGAAGAGAGAGATCTGGGTTTCACTTTTGTTTTCCTACTTGACAAATAAGGACACAGTGAGTATTCAATAAGAAAATTAATGTAAAAGTATATTTTAAAAACTATAAAAGCTACACAAATGAACATCATGATTGTTGGGTAGCTGGAGCCAACACAAGGAGAGAGGCCTATTTTTTAAACCCCTCAGCAAGACATCAGGCCTTATCTGCATGTAACAGCCACTTTTTCATAGCCTGTCAACACACACTGTCGTCCACTTCCTCCTTCTGAAGCATCTGTGAAGTTACATTTTATCTCCCCTGAGATTTGGGAGCGTGGGGCAGGGCCCTCATTGCCTGCCTGCATAGGAGGCAGATGATGGTGACAAAAACAGGTGGGCAGGCCTTTAGAGCACTGGACACACATCCTATGTGCTTGTGCCTAAAATCAGACATCCCAAATTCCATGGCAGGGATCTGTGACAGATGCTCACAGAGCCCAGCTGGAATACACTGGGCCGGATGCACTTCAAGAAACGACACGTGCGCCTGGACTTGTTCTTCCAGGAAGCAGGGAATACAACTGAGACAGGACATATGACAGCTTGTTACATACCCGTGTTTCCTTCTGCATCTGGTTTGTCTAGAGGGTACTCAGGCATGCACTCTAAGAAGAGATCAAAGATGGCTGCTGCATTCTCTTTGCCATACTGTCCCAAAATGTGCAGTGGCGACTGGCCTCTGATAAAACAAGTTGAAAAGTTAGATATTATCTGTCACAGCCATCATCCACAAAAGAAATGGAATATTCTGAACTCTGTGATGATGGATAAATCAAGACACATAATAGGTCATAAAACTTTTCCTGAAAAATATTTTTTTTAAAGAAAACCTCCAGGCTACCAAAACCCAGTCAAGTGCCCTAGTGGCCAGTTCTACCGTGGGCACCGGGGGCTAATGTGAGGCTCCAGTGACTGCCAGCTCTGAGGGGCGCACCGGGTGATGTGGAGCACTGGCCTCTGCTCTGGACCACACACACCCACCTTAGATTAAAGGCTTCAGCGTCCACAGTACACTCTGTCAGGAGGACCCGGATGTTGTTGAGCCGACCGTGCATGACAGCGAGATGAAGAGCTAGGAGATAAGTCCTCTTACTGTGCAAGCCCAGGAGCACACGCAGAGAACCCTGACAGCTCCTCACCCTCACAAACCTTGCTCTAAAAGGGACTCAGCCCGAGCAGCCACTGTCCACCCCCTAAGAATGAGTCATAAATGCAACCTTGTAAGACTGCTCTCTGCTTCCAGTTGTCCATAGATGAGTTTAATGGTTCTACAAGAAGCCACTTTTGGCCTCTAGGATTACCATGCAGATTGGGAGGCTGCCCAGGGCCTGGTCAGTGGCATGTGGGATGCCTGGCTCAGAGCTTTCCCTACCACTGCTCTGCTCCTATGAAAGCCAACCTTCCTGAGGGGGAGCACACCCAAGGGCGCAGTGCACCTGCACCTTTAGCATGGAGGGATTGCTTAAGGCACTCAGCACTGGACCAAGGGGAAGGACTGGGAATTACCATTATTTCCATTCTCATCCACAGCAGCAAAGTCTACTCCATTCTCCAAGAGGACTGAGCAGATGGTGGGTAGGTCCTGCTGGGCAGCGAGATGCAGTGCAGTCTGGCGGTGCTTGGTTAACTCATTCACTTTGGCTCCTGCAAGAAGCTGTTGAAGTTGATTACATGAGCACCCTCTACCGCAACCAATCAGGGTTCTACTTAAGGGGGACAAGCCTGCCTGTCTTCTGACATCTACAGAGTCTGCCTGCCAGCAAAGCTCGGAGTGTGAGGGCCTCACATGCACTCCTGGCAAAAGCCAGCAAAATCTGTCCCAAGGACAGACTGACAATTAGCAAAACATTAAAAAGCCATTCCTTAGGACACAGAAAGTCTACTTCTAAGACTTCAGCCATAGACTTACACGAGACCGCAGTGATGTGCACTGCACTGTTAAGGATGTCCACTGTAAAAGTAAAACCGGACTGCAAAGAAAATTTAGTTATGAAAACTGTAATATATACAAACAAAAGCATAGTAGCTATTAAGATGATAAAAATTTATGGTTTAACATGGAAAGGTATCTATGATATAGTACGTTAAAAAAAGGCAAATTAGAAGATAGTATGATAGTATATACTGATTCATTTGGAGAGAGAGAGAGAAATGTACATACATTCACACACAAATACACAAACTCTGAAGGTGTTTAAAAGCATAGATACCAAACTCACAGAAGAGTTGAGGGTGAAAGGAAGATAGTTTCTGCTTTACATCCTTATGTGCTTTAAGTTTTTCACAAAAAGCATGTATTATTTTTATATTTTTAAAAGAAAGAAAACAACACAAAAAATATAGAATCAAAGGCAGAAAGGACCTTTAAATAATATCTATTCATTCAGTATTTGAAATTCATTCATCACCCACTTTCTAACAAAGATTCAGAGAGCTGCTATTAACGGAAAAGAATCTGCAGTTTGCAGTCAGAGCCCCGCTTGCCCACCGCAAGGGTGGAGGCCACCTCTGGTCCTGTCTGTGTGAGCAGGCACTCTGCCTTGGGGAACTCTAGGCATTGGTCAGCGGCTCTGCTTCTGACCCTGACTTCCAAGTCCCAGCCTCCCCAGACCTTTGTGTGCCCAGTCAGGTCACTCAGAGGTCAAGACAGGACATGGCATAAAGGGGTATTCACACTCACAGGTGCTAGGGATCACAGCTAACCCCAAGGCTGCTTAACGGGGGGAGGGAAGAGGTTTGGGTCAAGGCATTATTTTAATGCAAGCAGGTTCTCATGTGAAGCTGTACCAATTCACAAAGGAAAGACTGAGTGGTCACTGTCAGAAGAGTCCTTATACCTCCCCAGGCTCTCAGTGCTGCAGGCAGACTGAAGAACGTGAGCCCGATTCCATGTGAGACCCACCTCCGTCTTCTTCGCTGCTTGCAAAGAAGCAAGCAGCACCCAGTCCCTCCTGGCATCCATCCAGTCCACCTCCTCAGTCACTCCCCAGTCCATCTTTCACTGCTACTGCCTCCCCTCAGCCTCTCAACTGGTGGCTCTACCCCCATGACCTTGCATCCCACCCGCAAGATAAATGCTTTCTCAGCTCCAACATATTGCAAGTCATTAAGGTTTTCTAAAAAAGTATTTTTTCACGAAAAAATGGCAGGGCACCAAATGCTGGTCAAGTGTCTCAGTGATCAGTTCTGGAGCTGATGGGGAAGCACCAGCAGCTGCCAGCTCCTAGGTGTAAGCCAGGTGATGTGGAGCCCTGTCTTGGCCCTGGGCCAGGGCCTCAGCTCAAACACTTACACTGGTTTCTCCACCACCAAAGGACAAAGGCTGCTCACAGTTCCTGGTCTGAAATGTGACACTCCACAATCTGGTCTCCAACCACATCTACTTTCTACCCAAATTTCAATGAAACTTTTCTACTTAAAACACAACCCTGCATGTTCCAGTCTGCATATCTTTGCTCAGATCCTTCTCCTGCCTGGGTGGCATTATATTATACCAAAAAGGGCAACTTTTGGAGTCAAAACAGAAATGGCCAAAACCCCAACCACACTACTATCTATTAATCCTGGGGAGAAAAATGTTTTCTGAACTTACATTTTCTCCTTTGTAAAATGTAAAATTTCCCAGTAAATCCGGGTGGTTTTGCAAATTAAGAGGCAGTAAACTCCTTGACATAAGTCTGAGCTATGATTTTTTTTGGATCCGACCAAAAGCAAAGGCAACAAAAGCAAAAATAAAGAAAGAGGATGACAAAACAGTTTCTACACAGCAAAGAAAATGATCAACAAAATGAAAAGGCAACCTACTGAATGGGAGAAAACATTTGCAAATCATATCTGGTAAAGATTAATATCCAAAATATGTAAAGAACTCATACAACAGAGTAGCAAAAAAAAAAAAAACCCTGCCAATCAATTAACAAAATGGACAGATGATCTGAACAGACATTTCCCACAGAGGACATACAGGTGGTCAGCAGGTGCACGAAGGAGCTCAACATCATCATCACTGGGGAATTTCAAATTAAAAACACTAAGACATCATCTCACACCTATTACGATGGCTCTTTTAAAAAAAAGATAAGAAACAGCACTGACGAGCCTGTGCAGGGAAAGGGAAACCCTCGTGCACTGTTGGTGGGAGTGTAAACTGGTGCGGCCACTGTGGGAAACAGTACGGAGGTTCCTCAAAAAGTTAAAACACAGAACTACCATATGATCCAGCAATTCTACTTCTGGGTATTTATCTAAAGAAAACAAAAACACTAATTCAAAAAACTAAATGCACGCCTATGTTCACTGCATCGTTATTTACAACAGCCAAGATATGGAAACACACTAAGCACCCATTAATGGATGAATTCAAGAAGACATGGTGTGCGTGTATACAGTAGGTGTGTGCAGCGTGTATGTCGATACACTGTGTGTGCATACACACAATGGAATTCTATTCAGCCATTTAAAACAGAATGAAACCTTGCCACTTGCAACATGAATGAACACTGAGGGCATTATGCTATATGAAGTCAGTCAGACAGAGAAAGACAAATACCATTATGATCTCACTTACATGTGGAATTTAGAAAATAAACAAAAAAGCCCCAAGGTCAGAGATACAGAGAACAGACTGGTAGTGGCCAGAGGCAAAGGACAGGGGAGGCAAAATGGGTGAGGGGACTCAAAAAGTACAAACTTCCAAAGTAAAAAACCATGAGAATATAATGTATAGCACAGTGATTATAGTTAATAACATTATTACATATTTGAAAGTTGCTAAGAGAATAAATCTTAAAAGACCTCATCACAAGCAAAATTTTTTTTGTAACTATGTATGGTGACAGATGTTAATTAGACTTATTGTGGTGGTCATTTCACAATATACACAAATATTGAATCAATATGTTGTATACACCTAAAATTAATGTTCTATGTTTATTATATCTCCATAAAAAAAAAGACTACAGAGAGTGCATACTCATGCGCTCACGAGAGTCAGTCAGAGAGAGCGAGCACTCCAAAGCACCACTGAGCACCTGACGGGGCAACACGAGTGGCTCTCCTGTCCCTAGATGCTCCCACCCTGTGCCACCACCCACGCCCTGCTTTCCCTCAAGGCCTCACTCCAGCATTCGCCTGCTCAAGCAGCCCACTGCGCAGTTAGGATACATTGTCTGCCCACTACAAACACCTGCTTTCCCAAGGGTAGTGGCTTACTCCCCAAATTCACACTGGCCTTTCACACTAACTAGAAAAACACCTATGATGAGAGATTCTGCACACAATCTACCACATGGCTTTCTCGTGTTACGTGCAGTAATGTTTCAGTGACACTTACCAAATTGCGGACGATAATCTCTGAGCCTGCTTGGACAGCAAGATGCAAAGGGGTCACCTTGGAAGCATCCTGGACTCTGGAATTCACATTAGCCTGGACACTGATCAGGAACAGGACACTTTCAATATCAGAGTTCTGAACTGCCACATGAAGAAAATTCCGGCCTTTGTTATCCACCTGAGGCAGGAAGCAGAACCAAAATGTCAGTGGCTTCCCCTGTGCAAGAGTGCCTCCTTGAACATCTGCAAGCTGCACTGACTACTGGAGAGGTCACGGTGTAGAGCCTCCCTCAGTTGCAGGAAGCCAGCCAGTCCCCAGACAGACCCATTCTATGGATTTGTGCACATGACATGTGAGCACGGTCACATCCTCGTGGTCAGGGAAAGGGAGCCCCTGCCCTAATCCACACTGTGCTAGAGGCCTCCTGCAGTGGGAGCTAGACTCGGAAAGTCAAGAAAGAAGCAACCTGAAGTACAGAGAAAGAAGGCAAGAAAATACTGGGTTACTTGGGGAAAGGCAAAGGTAGAGACTAGCCCTGGAATCTCCTGCTTTTGCTAAAACAGGCACCCAGCACCCTGACTGGTGTGGCTCAGTGGGTTGGGCATTGTCCCAAAAATCAAAAAGTTGCTTGTCCTATTTCTGGACAAGGGCACATGCCTGGGTTGTGAGATGCAACCGATCAATGTCTGTCTCTCACATCGATGTTTCTCTTCCTCTCTCCCTACCTGCCCCTCTCTAAAAACAAGTAAATAAAATCTTACAAAAATAAAAAAGCACCCAGCATCCTAACACCAGAGCTACAATGGCAGCCTGACCCCGAGTAGTCAAACAAATCTTCAGAAAGTTTCCTCTTTTACAGAGCTACAGGATAACAGTGCACATTGGGGGAGGCGGCCAACAGTGTATCTCAGACTTCACTTCACTGATACAAAGCAGACAAAAAAGCGCACTCAAATCTAACTACAGAGAACGCTGTGGTTGTAAGAGCAGTCATATCCGCGTGAGGGCTCAGTGAGAAGGGAGGGAGACCCAACGCGCTGCACACATACCACATTTGCTAATGCAGACATTTCTCCAGCACATGCTGGTGTCAGAGCAATGCATGTGCAAAGGACTCTGATCACCAGAACCAGTTTCGTACTAGACTGAGAGGCAATGTGAGACAGCTATTCACAAACATTTTACACATCTGAACCACGGTGAGGCTAACACCTACACAATTCAGTCACAGCAAATGCTGAAGAAATGTGATGTACGGAAGTCTGAAATATGAAGGCACAGTCTTCAATGATATTAGACTTCATGTTGTTCAGGTCCCACATTCCTTCCCATTTACCTTCATAAATGGCTATTCAAGACCTTGGCAGTATTCTAAGTGCTAAATGAAGACTCAACAGTCTATAAGGCTGACTTAACAAACCCATCCCAGCTCCCACCTCAGGTCAGCTGCTGTGGTCATTTCCCACCCACTCTGTTGTTTCAAGTCAACGGTTCACCATTCAAGAACAGGACCACTGAGCCTGCTAGGATGAATGAGAGCAACTTAAATTCTTTAAAACACTCAGAAAGTTGCCTCAATATCACACCAAAAGCTCAAGTTCAATTTCAATGTTTTAAAGACTTATTGGGGCAATTGAACAACCAAGCAAAACACAAAGAACACCCTGAGTTGTACATGTGACGGAAGTCCTAGTACCGGGTCCAGCCACCTGCAGCTTCTATATGTAACACCATTAGGTGGCTGACATTCAAGGCACACAGTTCAATCTCACCCAGCACTGACAGGATATCTTAATGGCCAAATCTTAAGAAAGGGGAGTATAATCTCCAAATAAATGTCTTTACATAAAAGAGATCTATATAATAGGAGACACATGTTTAGTCTCCATGTAACAGGTTCTGCCATGCTTGGGACACTGTGGAGATGGTTGGGTGTTGGTTACTTACCTGCTCTGCAGCCCCAGACTCCCGTTTTAGGATGGCCTCGGCGGCCTTGTTGTTCTTGTAGGTCATGGCGCAGGCAAAAGGGGTCAGGCCTTGTCTGTCTCGTACATTCAAGTGGATGTCAGGATGAGAAATCAACAACTGAATGATGACGCTGTGTTGGTTGCTGATGGCCACGTGGATAGGCGTCCTTCCTTCTGCATCCTATGGGGACGAGGCACAGATTTCACTATCCAGTGAAAGACGAAACGCAGGAAAAATGTAAATGGGCAGAAGTTTTAAACCAAATTTGGTTCTGAGAATCAATGCTACTACTCTCTGTTTGAAATCAGCTTTTAAAGAGGCCAGAGATGACTAAAAGCCACTTCCCATTATGACCCATGCCCCAATGCCCTAGGGGCTGAACTACTTTCGTTGAGAAGATCTGCAGTCACCTCACCTCTGAGTTACACCACGCCTTCTCTGGCCATAGGGCAATGTACAAAAATCTTCACAAGATTTATGTTGCAAATGTTGCAACATAATGTTGCAACATTAAGGAACATTGTTGCAAAGCATCAATGATGCTTAATTAACTAAGCTCCTGAACATTTTCCTAAACACTGTACAGATGTTCCTCAACTTACAATAAAGCTACATTCCAACTAACCTATCAAAAGTGGAAAATGCATTTAATACACCCAACCTACAGAACACCCCAGCTTAGCCTAGCTTACCTGAAATGTACTCAGAACACTTACATTAGTTTTCAACTAGTCAAAATAATCTAACACTATCTCATGTAATTTATTACATTATACATATCACTTTCATACCATGATGAAGTTGAAAAGTCATTTAAGTCAAACTATCCTATGTTGGGGACTATCTGTATGCTACCTTGGGACTAGAACAGACTCATTGAAAATCTATAACTAATTAGAGGATGGGAAGCAGAGAAAAGTGGATTCAACAAATGTTCCAAAAAACACAAAACAAACAAAAAGAAAACAAAAAATCCCATAAATGTTTTTCATGCTGTGGAAGGGCAGAGGCAAGAAGAAGAAAAGTCTTCACACAAAATCATTAAAATTACTAAGCAGGCTGTATGACACAGAGAAGGTCACTTCATCTGCCCGTAGCTCAGCCTCACTCGCAGTAAAGCAAAGGCCCAGGACTGGAGAATATGCAAGGTCTCTTTGCCGTAAGAGATTTTCTCTAATTCTAGAGTTACCCTCACTCTCCCCAGAAAAGAGAAGCTCTCCATACCTGTGCATTTACATTGGCACCAAACTCCAGAAGACACTGTACCGTCTCTTCCAGTCCCCAGGATGCTGCCAAATGCAAGGGGGTCTGGCCATCTCTGGCCTCTTCCTCTCCTTCTCCATTAGCACCGGGTCGTCTGGGACTATTCACATCACAGCCACTGACGAGAAGGGGGAAATAAAAGGAAGGATTCAAGGGCAAAGTGTCCACCTAGCCTAAAGGCATGCAGATAAATATACAGCAGCAGCCTTATGTGATTCGACAAAAAAATTGCTGCCATTAAGGATTGCTGTCCCTGGTCCCTGGCCTCAAATGTTAGTGTCTGGTCCTGCTCCCACAGGTTCTTCTACAAATGGTCTTGGGGACAACCTGGGCATCAGAACTCTCCCCAGGGGATCTGCATGCATTCATTTGAAGTTTGAGAACCACTCTTCTAAAGGTTTCCTGAGTAACCTTGCCTACACAAATCCTGGACTCTGAGCCTGTCATGGCTCATGAATCTTGGTGGGGTCTGCAGAGGCCATCTGGGCTCCTCCCTCACACCCCCTGGCTTCACTGTGTACACTGGTCTGATCTGACTACGGGAGCCTATGTGGCTCCCAAAGAGGGAAGCTGGCCTAGCTTTTAGATTCTCTGATCTGGGCGCATAGGCTCCTCTCTTCACGAGTGAGTCAAGTCTCTCAGCTGACTTGACGTGACAGAACAGTGACCCCAGGAACCTTAAGTATGAAACTCCAGCCAACAATTGCAAACTCTAGTGCTACAGTTTGCAATAAGCTGAACAAAAAAAGATTTGAATAGAAACTTAGACTTCTCGGACCTGCGAATAAGAAAGCAGGCAATGGACTCATTGTTTTCATCAATGGCTCTGTGCAGCAGCGTCTGAAGACATCCACTAGGTCCTGGACCCCAGCTGGTGGCATCACAGCCATGTCTGACCTGCAGAAAGACACGTACTCACAACACTGCCTAGCAAAGGTGAAACTTTTTGTGACCATCTCAGAGCTCTATGCACATCACTAGATTCATTTTTCAGGCAAGATGCAGTTAATAATTAGCTGGTAATTATGCTAATCTGTATCATTCATTAGTTTTACAAACACTCGTTAAACTCTGCCCTGTGCAAATGTGCATGAGTGCTTAAAATGATTTGGGAAATATAAGACAGATGTTTAATCAGTGCCCTTCAGAGTTGTGTTCTAGAAGGAACAGAAAACACACACAGGTGTGTTCATACACACTCGTAAGTCCCCAGTAACACATACCTGTAATTGACAGGTAAATCTAGTAACAACTGGGTAAGCCTTCAGGTGCACAATGTCTTACTGTCACATTTTAGGCCCTTCAAAAGCTAAATGAGCTCTGCTTTTGAGATTTGGGCATTTATTACTCTGGTGACAGCCAGGGTAGCCCATACCAAACTAACCCAGCTCAGGAGAAGACTCCCGAGGAAATGCCTCAGGCTCTCTTGCTTCTCGGTAGTTTTTTTTTAATTGATTTTAGAGACAGAGGAAGGGGGAGAGGGAAAGGGAAATATCGATTTGTTATTCTACTTATTTATGCATTCATTGGTTGATTCTTGTATGTGCCCTGACCAGGGATTGAACCCACAACCTTGGCATACTGGGATGACGCTCTAACTTACTGAGGAACCTGGCCAGGGCTTCTTGGTAGTTTTCTCTTTTTAGATTATTTTTTATTGATTATGCCATTACAGTTGTTCTATTTCCTCCCCCTTCATTCCCCTCCACCCTGCACCCCCCTCCCTCACCATTTCCCCCCTTTAGTTTATGACCATGTGTCTCAAGTTCTTTAGATTCTATATTTCTCCTACTATTCTTGCCCTCCCCCTATCTATTTTCTACCTACCGTCTATGCTACTCATTTTCTGTACCTTCTCCCCCCTTCTCCTCCTCCCACTCCCCTGTTGCTAACCCTCCATGTGATCTTCATTTCTATGGTTCACTCCTGATCTAGCTGTCCTCTTAGTTTGCTTTTGTTTTAGGTGTGGTTGTTAATAACTGTGAGTTTGCTGTCCTTTCACTATTCATCTTTTTTATCTTCTTTTTCTTAGATAAGGCCCTTTAACATTTTATATAATAAGGGCTTGGTGATGATGAACTCCTTGAATTTGGTCTTATCTGAGAAGCACTTAATCTGTCCTTCCATTCTAAATGAAAGCTTTGCTGGATAGATCAATCTTGGATGTAGGTCTTTGGATTTCATGACTTGGAATACTTCTTTCCAGCCCCTTCTTGCCTGTAAGGTCTCTTTTGAGAAATCAGCTGACAGTCTGATGGGAACTCCTTTGTAGGAGACTGTCCCCTTATCTCTTGCTGCTTCTAGGATTCTCTCCTTCATTTTAATCTTGGCTCATGTAATGATGATGTGCCTTGGTGTGTTCCTCCTTGGGTCCAACTTCTGTGGGACTCTCTGAGCTTCCTGGATTTCCTGGAAGTCTATTTCCTTTGCCAGATTGGGGAAGTTCTCCTTTTTTTTTTTTTAACACTTTTTTTTTTAAATTTTTTATTATTTATTTATCTTTAGAGGGGAAGGGGGGGAAGGAGAGAGGGAGAGAAACATCAATGTAGGGTTGTCTTTTGTGCGTCCCCTGCTGGGAACTGGCCTGCAGGGAACCGGCCTGCAACCCAGGCATGTGCCCTGACTGGGAATCCAACCACGATCGTGTGGTTCGCAGGCCCGCGCTCAATCCACTGAGCTACACCAGCCAGGAAGTTCTCCTTTATTATTTGTTCAAATAAGTGTTCCACTGGTGGCTGTTCCTCTTCCCCTTCTGGTACCCCTATAATTCGGATGTTGGAACGTTTAAAGATATCCTGGAAGTTCCTAAACCTCTCATTTTTTTGAATTCTTGTTTCTTTATATTTTTCTGTTTGGTCATTTTTCTCTTCCTTCTGGTCCACTCCCTTGATTTGAGTCCCAGTTTCCTTTCCATCACTATTGGTTTCCTGTGCATTTCCCTTCATTTCACTTACTGTAGCCTTCATTTGTTCATCTAATTTGTGACTAAAATCAACCAGTTCTGTGAGCATCCTGATCACCAGTGTTTTGAACTGTGCATCTGAAAGTTTTGCTATTTCTTCATCGCTTAGAGTCATGGGCTCTGGGGCTTTGAGTTCTTCTTGAGTCATTTTTGGTCTGTTCGTGCCCGTTAAGTATGAGGAGTGGAGCCTTAAGTGTTCACCAGGGTGGGGCCGCCCAGGTCGCTGGGCTGTACCGCTATATGTAGGGGCGGGGTCAGAGAGGGGCAATAGCAGTCCCCTCTGCTGCTTCCTGCTGCTGGGGCCTGCGCGGTCTATCTCACTGCTTGCTCCTTCACTGGTTTATCAGTCTGGCTGAAGGGTTCCTTGTTGTCGGATTTCGCTATATTTCAATTTTCTGTGTTCTGGCTGCGTTTTTTGTTACTAAAACTTTGTTGTCTTTAAATTTGGTTGTGCAAGAAGACACAATGTTTCCACCTATGCCTCCATCTTGGCGGAAGTCCCTCTTGGTAGTTTTCTTGATAAAAGGAGCCTTGAAAAAGGATTGGCCAAGACTGTTGAACTGCAAGTTTCTTTAACAGGACTTTCTCCTGCTCCTCTGTGACTCAGTTTGTTACTTGGCACATCCCTTGCTCTTTATGATCGCTATGTAGGCACCAAATCCATCTCTGACACAAAATATCCCCACACGTAAACAGAGGCTGAAGTTGAGTTTTTCTTACCAGAGTGGATGCGATGTCCTCCAGACTATTTGCCAGCGCAAGCCACAGTGGGGGATTCCCCCTCTCATCAGGCACAGACATGTCAGCTCCTCGGGTGCATATGGCATCCACCACAAGCGGCAGCTGGTTTCTGATGGCCAGCTGAAGGGCTGTCTCCCCGTCCTGGGTCCTGCGAGGACGTATGTGCACACCAAAACCAACATCTATAACTAAAGCCACCTGAAAAATGGTACCCTTCTGGGCATTCCAGAGGCCTAAATCCACTGCATACCTTAAACATAATTCACTGACATTAATATTCTTTCAAAAAATATAACCTAAAAATATATATATATATAACCTGTCTACAGCATCTGTCCTAGGCCTTTAAAAAAATATAGCCGTACTGTCCTATGTCACAGGAAAAGTAACAGCCAGGGTGTTGAGATCTTAAAGGCATACAGTTACTTTTAATAGCATCTTAATAAAATGCTGCCCCAACTATCCACTTGACGAAACACTGCATTCACCCACTTAGTCATTCACGATCACTTGAGTTTGGAGATCAAGAGAAATCCCTTTGAAAACACAAAACAATAAAAGTTTAACTCTAGATATTGTCCTCCTCAAGCCTTTTCCACAGCTTATTGTTGGAATGTTCTCCATAACTGGAATTCTTACTCAACTGATTTTAGATTGTCCTTTTTAATGAGATTGTGCAGTATCATGCATTGGTTTTGAGAGGTTCAAACGAGAGCAAAGTACAGTTCTCATTCTTTTTTAAAAAATATTTTATTTTTAGAGAGGGGAAGGGAAAGAGAAAGAGAGGGAAAGAAACATCATTGTGTGGCTGCCTCTCACATGGCCCCCACTGGGGACCCGGCCCGCAACCCAGGCATATACCCCGACTGGGAATTGAACCACGACCCCTTGGTTCAGAGCCCACGCTCAATCCACTGAGCTATACCACCAGGGCCAGTTCTCATTCTTCATCCCACGAGTGTACAATTACATTCAGTTACAGCCCCGCAGTTCTCCTTTCCAGTCACTGTTCCCCTCCCTCTATTTAACAAGGACAAAAGTGTGTTCTACAGGCAAAGCTGTGCTTCTGTACTATCCCCCATCAATGTGACCTGGTGCTGCAGCTGTGCCAGCCTACCTGACATTGATATCCGCCTGGTGCTCCAGGAGAAACAGTGCACTCTTGCTGTCCTGCCGCTGCATGGCCATGTGCAACAACGTCTGCCCGTCCGACATGGTGTCGTTGATGCATGCCCCGGAGCCCAGCAGCTGGGCTGCGATCGTGTGCATGCCTGGGAAATTAACAAGCCCCGATTAATGCATGCCCAGCTTTCCCCACTTCTTCAACCTCTTATACTACAACAAACACTCTCTCTACTTCTTAAACCTAGCAGTTTTCCACTGGATATTACAGGCTTAACCCGAACAGGAAGGTTATTTTACAACTGATTAGCTCCAAGCCCTCCACACCTCCCTCCTTCCCTCTCCCCCTCCCTCACCCCCTTATATGTCTGCAGATATCAACAGCCTCTGGTACCACCTTACCTGTCCATAATGCCAGGCCCAGCACAGTCTGATCTCGGGAATCCTTGAGGCTGAAGTCCGGAATAATTTGCAAGTTGTTGGTGGCATGAAGAGCATTAGCTAAATTTTTTAAGGAAAAGAAAACTTCATCTCACCACCCATGGATCATGTTTAAAGCATCCAAGACAGCCCTGTCCAGGTAGCGGTTGGATGGAGTATCATCCCAATACGCCCAGGGCTGCAGGACTGACCCCCAGTCAGACACATACAGGAACCAACCAATAAATGCTTTAAGTAAGTGGAGCAGCAAATCAGTGTTACTCTCTTTCCCTTCCTCGCTCTCTAAAATGAATCAATAAATAAAAATTTAAAGTTCCAAGAGAGTAAGAGCTCAGTTTCAAACTGACTAGCTAAAATACGAACTGATATATTTTCTCATGAATAGTGGAAGTCCAGAAATGTAGTATTTTGGAGGAAAGTTAACGGGGAAAATGAAATTTTTTTTTTTAAAATTTAATCAGAAGAGGGTCTTTTTTTTTTTTTAAAGATTTTATTTATTTATCTTTAGAGGGGAAGGGAAGTAGAGAGGGAGAGAAACATCAATGTATGGTTGCCTTTCATGCATCCCCTGCAGGGAACTGGCCTGCAGGGAACTGGCCTGCAACCCAGGAATGTGCCCTGACCGGGAATTGAACTGTGATTGTCTGGTTCGCAGGCCCGTGCTCAATCCACTGAGCTAGGGAAAATGAAATTTTTAAAGCCTAAAACACTGACTCTTCTTAAAAGGAAACCAGACTCCACTATGGAAACACACGTTAATTACTTGATTGTGGAAAAGAAGACCAAAACAACAACCTGGTGATGTTTTCCTAGTACGCAGTCCCTACCGTGTTACAATTCCTGTGCGGACCAACAATGGGGGCACGCTCTAAAAACCCTACTTCCCTTCCAAGACAGTGCTAAAAAGTGCCGGCCTGAGCAGGATGCAGGTGAGAGTAGCACACATTTCAGGACAGGAGAGAAGAGCCCGAGGCGACTCTGAGGGAGACGGGCCTCCCCCACCGCAGGGGCTTCCCCGTGGCCCGTCTCTTTGGCTCCCATCTCACGGTTCACCTGCCAGGGCGGCGCAGATGACAGGACTGATGGCTCAGGGAGGACCTGCCACGGCAGAGTTCTCAGAACACAGTGCTCGCACCAAAGCAAAGCTTTGACTGACCTGCACTGACATGCCTGGGAAAACACCCCCAAATAAGAGAGAAGCAGTCAAATGTTCTTAACCCAGTGGGTGAACCAGGCAGGCCCCACCCTGAAAATGTACACTGTAGTTGGGAGCCAGGGTATATGCTTATCTAGTTAGACCTGAAAAACTCACCCATGAAAGAAGCATCATCTCTGTAATTAACTACTCAAAACCACTGTTCAAATGTCAAAGTAACAGGCAGTATTTCCAACCACCTACCTTTTTGCTCCAGGATGACAGACACCACATCTGGATGATTATAGGCAATTGCCATGTGCAGCGGCGTCTGCAGATAGACACTGCCCACTGAGCTGGTCAGGGACGCAGCCTCCTTTGGCAAAGGCAGAGCTTCCTCTGTCTGCAGGTTGGGGTTGGCGCCTTGCTGCAGGAGCTCTGCAGTGAGGTTGGCCAGCCCACGCCGGCAGGCTGTGTGCAGCGGAGTTTCTCCCTGAATAGACACGAATGACCCACATCACAGCACTTTCAGGCTGGGAGTTACCGTCACAGCCTACGTGCTGAAACTCAGGTCTCCAAGTGCTAGACACAGCCCTGGGCTTGTCCTGTCACCAGCTGACTTCCATGACTTCTGTGCTACTCCTCCTGGTCTCCTCCCTTGTTTCTTCGATGTCTTCCCAAGCACCCTCCAAATGTCTTGGCTCCTCATTTCTACATTTCAAATGACCTTCTTAACCACTCTTCATTTTGTTTTTATAATTACTTACAATTATAAAAACAATACATAACTACTATTAAACAACAGCAGAGGACTTCCAAGTGGCACTAAAATAAACACTGGAGACTGGAGGAGCCTCGGTCACAGCCCCAGAGACGAGCAGTGCCTTCCTCCCACGTGGCCTGCACGTCTCTCTCAGCCCCAGCAGCGCACCCACACGCTGCTTCCCTGACCTACTCCATCAACCTGACCAAGACCACCTCCCCCGCTTTTTACAATCAAAAACATTTTAAGTTGGTGTTATAGGTACTTGATTCAATATTCAAAAGCTGTGAGGATATTCAGTGAAAGGAAGTTTCCTTTCACCCCTTGCCCCCACCACCTAATTACCCTCCCCTACGGAAACCACTCACTAGTTTCCTGTTTCTCTCCAGTGACAGAATATTCACAGAACCATACACACACACATGCACATGTGTGTGTATTTGTATATGTAGTTTAGGATAGGATATATCACAAATGCCTAGGAAATGGTCTCTGAGTGAATCAATCAACCAGTATTTGAGGAAAAAAGCATCTGTTGCACTCTGGTTTTTAAATCATGTATATATGTATATATTACTCTGACAAAAACTGAAAAAAAAAAAAAAAAAAAAAAGAATCCATTCCACTGTCCCCTACACACCTGCCACTGCCATTTCCCTGCCCTGGCTGCCCCGTCTCACTTACCCACTTGTTTCTGTGGTTGACGTGGGCACCACTGGCTGCCAGGAAAAGAGCCGCCGCCTCATTTCCTGCTTCAGCTGCCCGCTGCAGTAAGCAATTTCCTAGGAGAAAATGGGCATATTCATTCTTCCCTTTGCGTAAAAATGAGATCCAGTTCCACACCGCACCACACCCTGACCTTCCCCACCACCTTCACAACTGACAAGCCCACACCTGAAGGCCACACCGGCACTCTCTATGGTCAAAGAGACTAGGATGAGTGTGGGTGGAGCAAAGACTTGGTCTGGAAGTCAGGAGACAGACCTTCTTCCCTGGGTTTGCACTAGCCCCCACTCAGAGCCAGAGGTAAGTTCTGTCTCCTTACCCGGGTGCTATTAGAACTTGGTTTCGCAAGAACAGTGCTAGTGACATTTTGGGCCATGTAATTCTTTGCCGTGAGGAGTCTATCCTATACACCACACAATATTTAGCAGTGTCCCTGGCACAGGCCCACTAGATAACAGCAGCACCCCCATCCTTCATGTGACAATCAGAACAGATTACAGGTGGTGCCAAATGTCCCGTGGGGTGGGGGCCTGGAGGAGTTGTCCGTGTCTGAGAAACTCTGGGTTAGGCGTTCATTTGAAGACACTGTGAGCTCAAGTTCTACCACAAAATGTCATTAAATACTTCATTTTTACTCCTAGGGTCTTAAATATCTGTTCTTGGCTTAGACATGTTTTGTTTACCACAATCATTCTTTTCTAAATAAAACAAAAATTTTTTTCTTTGTTTTGTCTTGAATGGTTTATTCCTGAGCAGTGTCTCTCTTTCTATTAAAATCTATTTCCTTTTTGGATAAACACAAAATCTTGAGTTCTACGTCCATGCTACTTGAAAACCCACATTAAATACCAGGACTGAAAACAAGGTGAGGGACCGGGACAAGGCACTGCTCTGTGCTCACACCCCTCTCCCCCTGCCCTCAGAGAAACCATTCCCCCTCAGGCTGAATTGCTCCAACTGAGACTCCTATTTTCCCTTCTGTAGTCACTGTGGTGCACACAAGACTGACATCTCTACATGTCTGTCCCACTATCCAAAAAAAGGAAGTTTCCTATAAAAATCCTTCATAGGCTGAAATGGTATAAAGTGGCAAGCAATTACATGAACTTATAAGGGAAAATTTTTAAGCATTCATGGACCCCCAAGATAACCTACCAAACCATATCAAATGACACATAAAACCTAAAATAAAACCCTAACATGAAGTAAAAGCAATGCCACTCTTGCTACCTGGGGTGCATGCCATCTTGCTGCAAACAGATGATGAACGCTATTTTTGCTTTTGGCCCTTTTTGTAAAAGTGAAAATCCTCCATTTCTTTCAGTTAACAAAAACAGGCACTAACATGGTCTTTTGTAAAAGCAAAGTGGCATAAGATGAACTTTTGAAGAGCAGGGATACCTGTATCTCCCTATAAAACAAAGACAACCTATGACTACTGAAACATCATTGCAGTGTAGAAAAACAGTGGTCTAAGGCGATTACACACACAATAAAAAATGAAACAAGGAAAAAAACAATAATACTGAATGTATATTTAAACAAAGTATACAGCCTTGGCCGAGAGGCTGTTAGTGGGAACATCGTTCCATACACCAAAAGGTTGTGGTTTGATCTCTGGTCAGGGAGCACGGGGCGGGGGAAGGCGGCCGATCCTTCTCTTTCACACAGATGTGTCTCTCTCACCCCATCCCCTCCCTTCCTTTTGCTCTAAAATAGATTAAAAAATATCCTTCATATTAAAAAAATAAAAGTATATAAAGTAAAATGAACAGAACTAGCAAGAAAAATGGACAAATCTATAATTATAGTGAAAAATTTTAATCTACCTCCCAGAAATTGAGAGATCAAGCAGTCTGTAAGTTACATTAATCAGTAAGATATGAACAGCATAAAGAAGGAGCCTGACCTAACAGACATAAACAGAGAATGCTGCATTCTACAATGAAAGAATGCACATTTTTCAAGTACACGGCAAATGTTTATAAAAATGAGTAAAAGTTGAAGTCAATTCTGAATATCAAAGAACCAATCTTATGTGCTACTCTCATGATTAAATTAGAAATCAATAAAATCATGACAACCAACATACACTTATAAATAGAAATCAACGTAGTAACGATCTCATTTCCAGAGGGTCTTCAGTCGAGAACACCCCTCTCCTATGCGCACTGCCCTGCAGCTTTTTACCACTGCGTTGAGCTTTCATGTCTGTCACCCAGAGGGATGATTTCACGTGACCTTCATTTTAAGTTAACTTCTTTTAGAGTAAGGGCTGCTTAATATCCATCTTTTTAGGGGCCAATTCCCTTCATCAGTGGCACCTACCCATACTTTATACATTGCTAGTACTCAGTACTGAATTACATGGAACCCCTCTCCTCAAATTTTATGTGGTACAACTGTGCTCAGATCTCTCAGCACCACACAGCCAGAGCCATTCCCCGCTGCTCAAAACGCCTCCTCAGCCTGTCCCGGCTGTTCCAAAGCTCAAAGCTCTGACACAGAACTTCTGCGGCTGTTCTGGCTGTTTGGGAGACCCAACTCAGACATGACAACCGCGGGAGGGAGACTTTAACAAGGCTTACTTGGTGGCGTCTGCTGGCAGTAAGGTGGCTTATTATTAATACAGCTTTAAAATGTTTTTCAGTTTTAATTTCTAATACAATAAATATCAAAACCACAATCCACCAAAACGAAAGCTCTTTGGGATAATTTTTTTAAAAATCCTCACCCAAGGACATTTCTCCTCTGCTTTCAGAGAGTGAGGGAGAGAGAGAAATACCGATGTGAGAGAGAAACACCAACTGGCTGCCTCCTGCACACGCCTGAATCAGGGACCGGATGCACACAGACTGGGGACTGAGCCCTCAACCTGGGAATGTGCCCTGATGGGGAATTGAATCTGCAACCTCTCATCTACGGGACAACGCTCCAACTGACTGAGGCACACCAGCCAGGCTGGGATATAATTTTTAAGAGGGTAAAGGAGTTCTGATTCCAAAAAGTCTGAAACTCACTACATTAAATAACTGGAAGTGTTTCAGCTTAATAGACATAACTTACAAAGTGGGGCTAAATTTTTTTTAAAGCACAAGATTAAAATAAAAATAACTTGGACTTACACTACAGTTAAAATTAAGTACAAAACACTCCTCATGATAATATGTCATTGAGTTTCTAAATTCTGGGTAGAACACGGGCCTCCAGAGTGGAGCACCCGCTCTCACGGATGCCTGCTTTACCTGACACCGAGTCGGGGGCATTGGTGTTGCTGCCACGCTGAATGAGTCTGGCTGCAAAGCTGTTCTCATCGAATGAAGTCCCATTTACCACAGGGAGGTCTTCAAAGGGGTTTACAGACTGGTCGGATGACACAGTGATGTACTGCACTGCAAGCCACAGAGCTGTGCTGCCCTCGTGGTCTTTCAGTTCTAAATCTAATCTGAAATAAGGAAGCAATGTGAATAGCAAGCACCTTCTTAGTCACTATGCTGACAACATCCTCATTCTTTTTCTTTATACTTTTTAAGTGATCATTTTTAAAATGTACTTTCACATATTAAAATTTATAACACTAAAAGACATTTAAAATTATTTTTCACTCACAATCCCACCCTCACAACTGCTTTTTCATTTCTCCAGGTCTCCCTACGTACTGTTTACACTGCAGCAACTGATTGAACACGTATTCATTCCTGGCCATGATGGACAAGTGTAAGGGAGTCCTGCAGAATGAAGGAGAAGGGGTGTCAGTCAGAATGGGCCCAATTACTCCTAGCAGGAGACTAGAATCCTAGGCAGAATCAATATCCACAAGAAATTCCACATCTCTGCAACAGTGTCTTTTCCACCCCGGGCAAACAGTTTTCTAAAAACAATGACCAAGTATCAAAGACAATGGGTTTGCTTATATGTTACCATTTATTCAGTAGCCAGAAGGATAAGAATCAATAAAAGAAAGAGATACAAATACTCTAAGTAAGGTTCAGTATTTAATCAGGTGCTTTTAAAGGAGCAGTTTCTAGCATAGGTATGCATATTTCCCCCTACCTGTCCTCCACAATTCTTAAAGGAAATTTTTTCTTCCAATAGTTCTCTGTTATACCCAAACACAGTCAGACTGGCAACAGGCAGGAGCTCATCAAAGTGGCAATTGACTACCCTTCACCTTTTTATTTAGCCCTCACGAGCCCTGAAGGAGGCTGCCACACAGAGCACAGGGCCCCCAGGCTGGCAGCTATCTCAGAGTCACAGACTGCCAGAGTTTACTGCAGTTGGGGGGAAAAATGAAGAATCAACAGGAGGGGGGAAAAAGAATGTAATTATTTGGGGGTAATAAAATAACCATCACATGATATTGACAGTTCATAGAGATCCATCTTATTTAAGTATTTTGTCCATCACATAAATCTATTTTCCTATTCGGATTTCACCAAACTCTTTTCTTATTTTTGAGAGGGTTTCAAAGTACAAAATATTGAGCTGCTACAGTGCAAAGTGAGTCCAACTTGTTGGTGATTCAGGTGGCTTCACTCCCCCTCACTGCCTCCCATACTGCTGTCCTACAGACAAGCAGCCCTTTCTTAGATTCTAAACCACAAGGAATCCTCAACTAAATATTTCTGGGAAGGGGCAAAAGAACACAACTGCTCCTGACAAATATACAAAGGGCAGTGCTGTGGAAGAAATGGCAAGCTGTGCAGATGGAGTTGTCCCAAGTGCAGTATTTACAAGAAGGCAGAACTGGGTTTAATACAGAGAGCTTCCCAATAATGAGACCTCACAGAAATACAGCTGACTGCCTCGAGAAGGTGTGCTCCACTTCTTCAGTTTACCCAAGCAACTCCAAGAAGGTTCTGTTGGAGGACCTGAACTAGATGACCACTGTGATGATGACAGAAATGGCTTAAAAATCCAAGGACCTCAGTTAACTCAGGATGGAAAAGGTTTCCCCAAATGCCTCTGGCCTTAGTCATGTCTCTCATTTGCATAACAAATGAATGTTTGTGCCTTTAATAAAAATGAGATTGAATAATGCCAAACTAAACAACACAAAGTCCCCATCTGCCAGTTACACGTCACCATAAAAGAACACTCTGGGAATGGACCTAAGAACAGTCTATTTGACCCCCAACTTACCTGCCCTTGCTGTCCTGCATGTTAGGGTTAGCACCAGCCTGCAGGAGGGCCTCTGCAATCTGTGCCATCGCAGACATCACCTCTGCCGAGTGTTTCCTGGGACTGTACAATGCCACCAGGTGCAATGGTGTCTCCTGTGAGCCCAAGGTAGTAGCATTGACGAGGGCCCCATTCTTAATGAGGAAAGTAGAAGCAAAGACATCTCCTGTAAAAGAAATAACAAAAGAAATGGTCACATAGGACAATACCCAGGGCAAGCTATTCTGGCTAACATTGCCTCAAAAAGACAAAGAGAACAACTGGGTGTGTCTGAAGCAGAACCTGTCAGGACACCTACAGGTGGGAACTCAGCATCGAGATCACAGAATTACATACTTGAATTCAAAAGGCTTCGTTCAATTTCTGATTCCGTGTTATCTGTCCTGTCCCCTCACGTCAGTAACACCTCACTATTTAAGTATACTGGGTTCCTGTCCTTCAAAAGCCTCTCCTATTCATCAACTCTCAAAAGGGGTTCCAAGATTTCTCCCCCAAAGAATTTATCTCCCTCTCATCCCCCCCCCCTCCCAGTCTATATGCAAGCCACACATGCCTTCTGCCTGCTGCATTTGCCTACGGGTTCCTCTTCAGAGGAAGACTATGTCTGATTTATTCACTGTGATTATAATGATTCTTTTTTTCCTCAATCTTATTACATGCAAACATAATAGTCTTAACAAGTTTACAACTGAATATTTGAATAAACAATCTGTACCCATTAACAGTTACAAAAAAATTCACGTGGTAAATTAACTGGATGTAAAAAAACAAAACTTCTATCTAATTCTTAGTGTATTACAGATAGAAGAGGCTGACCAGGACTATCAAGTATCAGATTGAAACTGAGTAACTTACATAAAATCGAATGACTTCAACAGCTCAGGCTACTGCTTTTGCTTATTTAGCATTCTGTATGAGGGAAAAGAACTACTGTGACATCCTGACGAAAGGCCAATAATTAAGTTTACCTAAAGATATTAAAGGTATACAATTCTCTGAATATCTTACCATAGACTAGCAAAGACGAGCTGACTCTAGGCTGGTTCTGTGAATAGATGGCTAAATTCAGAACCAAGCTATCTAACAAGTGGCAATTTAATGTTATAAATAAATACTTGTACGAAACCAGTTAAAGTACCTTGTCAAGGTAACTTGGAAGATGACAGAAATTAAGCAACTAAGTTTGTTGTAAGATTACTTAAAGTTTGATCTTCCTTAGATTTAGTTCAATTTACAATTTAAAATATGCATAAGTCACTATATATAAAATTAACATTTCTTAAGAAAATAAGGCAAGAATGACAACGCATCGTAAGATAATAAACTATCAACAGAGATCATCCAGCTCTAAACGCACAGTGTATGCGCTGAGACACTTCAGCAGGCGGGAAGCAGCGGTTTCCTCCAACGGCCTCCACGTAGCCCAACAAGCTCATAGCTGCACAGTCTCTCAAATGAGACTCAGCCACCCTCTGACAGTCTACCTGTCTGACTTTGGTGGGTGTGCCGGGGTACACATCTCGGTCATCCCAAGAGCTCATCTGGGATTGAGAGGTACTTTCTGTACATTCTGTGCCCATTTCGCCAAGGTTTATACAGGATTAATTTCTTGCAAATGGCACCTTTCTTTAGCTGGAAGATCCCCCAAGTGCACAGCAACCTCCCAGGTTGGTTTGCTGGTCCCATGACTGTACTTCTTAAATTCGCTGGAAGTCTTGGGATGAATGCCAGGTTGTTAAAGGTGCTTTGGAACTTATTCAAGATATTGATTATAAACAACGATGCTCTTGCCATAGTTGATCTGTTTTGTCTTTGCATCAGGAAACTTTCATCTGTTTCTAGTTCTGTTCATGTTGCAGACATACTCCTTTGAGTCACAACTTCCAGAAAATAGTTTTCACTTAAAGTCACTGGTGAGAGTTTTTCTTTTATATCTTGCAATCATCTCATTTTCTTCAACTAAGGTAATCTAAAGATCCAGAATAAGGCTTACAATTTCAGGAGTGGCCAAACTCAAATCTGTTATCGATATTCTTATGCTCATTTTCACTGAATGTATGGATTTCACCTGGTCTTCAGTGAACATGGAATTTCAAAATCATCTGGTTTTCAACACTTTCATGTGCTTTGTACTCTCTTCCAAGGTACCATCTTGCCGGAGAATGTGAACTCTGGCACTGAGGTGGCTAGGCCACCAGAGAACCCTCAGGTGCATAAGTCCATGTCTGAGTTGTTCCTGTATTCGCTACTGTCTTATACAAAACAGGCACCAGGGCAATGTTTGGGAAGACAATTAATTGACCCGTCAAGGCTATTAAGTTCCACTTTACAGACTGGCTCTAATTCCAATTAATTATGACTTCAGGTACCTTAAGACTTCTCTAATTAACACATTCTGAAATATTCTCTCATCTGCCCCCAATTTTTTCTTAGGGGGTGGGGGAAGATGCAGTCTTTACCAACATCATGTGCAAAGGACCAAAGCTTAGAGTTCTTTACAACAGGTGTCAGCAGAGCTCTGAAAGCGCCAGGTGACAGGCATGTCAGGGCCAGGCTGAGCTGGGCCGTTGCCCTCCGTACACGGATATCCACACACATGGGGTCCTCAGTGGGGCTCTCATGTAGTATGAGTAGTCCCCACAGAGATTCAGACTAGGAGAGTGTATGTAAAAACAATACACTAGCGAGAGAATAAAATATCCTAGAGAAAGCCACTTACACTCTGAAAGTGGAAAGAAAATTTAGAGTTATTAAGACAAAGAACTTTAACATAAATAATACAATATATAAGATACTGGGAAAGAGGTGGAATATGGTTCAATCACCTTTAAGGTTGTCATATATTCCATATTAAGAGGTAAATTGACAGTAAAGACAAAATAATACAGATTAATGAAAAACTGGGTAAGTACTACACATAGAAATAAGGGTACAACCTTTCAATGCTTGGATTCAGGTGGAAGGTATAATAAAAACTTTCTGTATTTGAACCCTCTTAAAAGAATTATAGCATTTAGATTATATTTAGTAAGAACCAAAGTTTGGGGTTTGTTTTTGGCTTTTTTGCTTAAACATATGTATGTACATATACCTACGAACCCCAAAAAGTTATTAAGGAAATACTGAAAATTGAAAATTTATGATGTTTTACATTAAAAGAAAGTCAGCCCACAGGTACAAAACCTAGAGAAAAAAGACAACTGAAAAAAGACATTTTTTTGGACAACAAAAAAGCAGGACAAAGGAGGGAACAAAAAACACCAAAAGGACCACTTATAAAGTTCCTATCAATATGATAACTTCTAATACACTTTAGAAAGATTTCCATAAAAACCAGTTAAAATTAAAACTGATATTTAAATGTTTCAGTTTCTTTATCACCTCATTCATGACACTGTCAGGTAAATGAGGCATTATTATAATGACTTGTCCAAATAAAAATATTCCTACCAACAGAGTTAACATTAAAAAATCCCACATACAATTTTTTTTCTTTTACTGCAGCTTCATGATGAAGTTTTGGAACAGCCAGTAATGTTCATTACTTAATTAATACAAACTGTGTCTTATGCTGCACCCGTTGGTAGCATAATTTGCAAATCTACAATTAGACAGGAGCATCTTATTTAAGAGACACATTGACTGATGTTGGCTGTTAAGGAAAACCAGCACAAGAAGAACTCGATTTCTTTAAAAGCAAGGATTCATCATCTTGCCCACATGTAGCTAACCAGAAGAGATGGCTTCCCTCTGGCCCTACATATACCTCCTGCGGACTCACCCACAGACCCTGGGTGCCTATTGTGTTCTCCACACAAACTGATCAGTATACTTGGTTATTTGAGTGATCACTGACTATTTTGTTTATAAATTCTAATGCGTGTCCAGAAACATTCTTAAATCTCATGTATGAAAGATCTTCACTCTTACTATAACGAACTTAAAGGTAAACAGCTCTAGTTGAAGAAGGAAAAGTGAAAAAACGTCCTACAGGAATTGGAGCCAGTCGTGACACTCCACCACAGGGCTAGGGTGAGATCCACAGGCTGACTCTACCACACGTAGTCACTGTGTGAAGCGTGCTGCCAACACAGTTTCTCATCCTCCCAACAACCAGTAGAGAAATGAGTCCCACTTCACAATGAGGAAAGGGAGACCCAAGTGGTTAAGTGACTTGTCCAATGAGCCAGGATTCTAACCGTGGTACATGCAAGCTCCAACACCAGTGCTGTGTCCACTACACTGTGCCACACTCTCCAAAATTAGCAGCAATCAAGTTGACCCACACTGTAATCCACAGGCTTGCAGGCAACTGATAAATTCAGAGTGGAAAATTAAATCATCTGAAAATAAGCATCAAGAATGCATCACCAATTCTTGGCAATTCCTGTAACTAAGCAATCACCAAAATATTTAATAACTCATCAAAGATGTTTTTTCATCACACATAAGAATTTAACTCCCCAAGAGGAAAGAAACATAATTCTGAGGTTGTTTTTTTGGTAACAGGTCTATTTGTTTCCAAAATAAACATCTCAGACACTAAACAGTATGGGAGAGAAGAATTCCCTGTGTGGCGGTAACACTCCCCACTGAACACACACCCAGTGCTAAGCACCCAATGGCTTTGCACAACGCAGAGTGGTGCTTGGGAAAAATGCGTCTGCTCTTGACACTGATGTACTCTAAGGATTTCCTTCCCAACAATGAACACATTTTTCCTTTCCATTAGCCAGCAAACTTAACACTTTAGCACATGGCTTAGAGGGATATTTCTATTACTCAAAATCTTTCCCCAAACAGGGCAAAGCCACAGCTGCAACAGAACCGTATTTGAAATGACTACATTCTACCCATTAAAAGCAACCTGTGAATGACAGAAGTGTAGCAGAGACAGTAATACTGCAATAATGCGTAACTGAAAGGGTAAATATACCCAATTAAGATGTTGGGGGAGCTGGTACACTTTGTCTTTGTTGTCCACATGTAAACAAAAAAGTGGCCAATTACTTCAAGCAAGTCCTCTATCCCTCTACAAAATTAAGGCTCTGTCATCTTTGAGTTTTCAGCCCACACTGGAATGGTACCTCTAGACAGCTCCCCACCTTATCGAAACTGACAACTGCAGAGCAGAGGCAGGCAGGGTCCATTTGGGACTTAAGAATTAATAAGGGCATGGGAAAAACAAAAGAAAGTCAAACGAGGCATACTTTTTTCCTTGAAAAGTAAATTGATTAAGGTTAAGATGTTCTGATCTTAATTCTATCACTTCCACATTCCTCCCACTACTAATGACCATGTACCAAAAATATAGCTACAATTTATAATTTTTGCTTATAGCTACAAAAAACAGAATGAACATCAATCACTTTGCCATGACAGAAGAGAAGACAACTCTGAATCCAAGAATATGTTTAAACATTTGTGGTTTAGATACTGTCCCTCTCTTATAGTAACTGTTACAAGTAAAGTCTTCCTAGCACAATTCCTGCAGAAGATCTTGAAAAGCAAACAAATTATTGGCTTATAAGTAAAAGGTACTTCTCTATCCTTTCTTCTGGGGCTCCGCCAACACTAGGAAGAACCTAACCAACAAGGCACAGGCAACAGTTCAGCAGTCCCTCCCTGACCCGCTGATCACAAATTCCAAGTCATGTAGCCCGAGGACAGACTCAAGAAGCCTTTACGAACTGTGGAACAGGGTCAAAGCGTCTTCAAAAATTACCTGGATGTAAGTAAAACTGCCTGCAGAGAAAAAAATAAAATACACGTCTTCCTACCTCTTTGGATTCCTTTATGTAACAAGCTCCAGCCATTCTTATCTACCATGTCCAAGTCAGCTTTGTGACTAACCAGCGTGGTGGCAATACTCTCTAGTCGTCGTGAAAGAGCTAGGTCTAAGGCAAGATCTCCATTATGGTCCAATTCATTCAGCTTCCCAGGGAGCTGCATAGATAAATTTGTAAATTAGCACCCAGCCAGTAGAGAATTCAATTGATTTTAATCTCTCCCACCCTGATTCTTAAATATCATCTCTTATGAAAATGTCAAAATTTAGCTCACTCCCCAAATTCAACGGAATTAGCAAACTTCTCTCCGGACTCCTCAGGGCACCTGCCTCTCAGGGAGGCCTGAATGAACGGGGACTCACAGAGCGGGTGTGAGCACAGGGCAGGCAACACTAGTGCAGCAGCTAGAGGAGCCCTACAGGAACACAAGGGCCATGGCAGAGGTTAGGAGCACCTGAGGGTAAACAGCTGTTTTTTTTTTTCCCCCAGAAAGACCGTGGCTTAACTATTTAATCCCCTCTAGCAGTTTAAATGTCTCCCCTGATACTGGACACCCAAGGATAAAACATACCACTCCCCCATCTGTCAAAAGCAACTGCATTTCTTCTAAGGTAGTGTGGCAGGCAGAATAACAGCCCCAGAGACATCCATGTCCTTATCTCCAGAACCTGTGAGCATGTCACCTTATATGGACAAAAGACACTGTGCAGATGTGATTAAGGTTAAGGACCTTGAGATGGTCCAGCAGAGCCCAGTCTATCTAATCACATGAGCCCTTAAAAATGAGGAAGAGAAGCAGGAGAGTAGGTCAGAGAGATGTGACATTACAAGAACTTGATCCACCACTGTTGGCTGTGTAGATGGGGGAAGAGGGCCAAGAGCTGGGAAACGTGACAGCCTCTAGCAACTGAAACTAGCTTGTAGCTCAGCTTGTAGCCAGCAAGAAAATCAGGACGCTGGTCCTGCAGTCACAAGGAACTGGATCCTGCCAACGACCCAGATGATAAGGAAATGGATTCTCCCCGAGAGCCTCTAGAAAAGAACACAACCTGCCGACACCTGGTACTGGACTATCAACCTCCAAAACTGTAAGAAGATGAAATATGTGTTGTTTTAAGCCACTAGTTTCATGGTAATTTCTTACAGCAGCAAAAGAAAACTAGAACAATTTTGGTATCTAGGAGCTGGATTGTGCAACAATTACCTAAAAATGTGGCAGTGGCTCTGGAATTGAGCAATGGGCAGAGGCTAGAAGAGCTCTGAGGAGCATGACAGAAAAGGCTCAGGTTGCCTTGAACAAATGACTAGTAGAAGTACTGCACTAAAAACTGTACCAGTAATGAATGGCTCAGAGGAAGTGAAGAGCATTACAGAGAAAAACAAGCGAAGTATAGTTTGGGAAAAGGGCAAGAAAAACGTGGGGGGCGGGGGGAGAATAAAACCAAACCAGATACAGTACCTGTGAATCCATTTCAATTAGGTAAAGAAAGACCACATCTTCTCTCTCCACTTTGATAGCTTTATGTAAAGGGTACTCAGTCTTGGATTTGATCATTTTGTACAACAGCTGAGCACTCATGCTGCTGAAGTCCTCTTTTCGTAAGTCATCCTAAGGATTTAAAAGATGGTGAAAAGCAGAGCAGAATGACCAAAACAATAACAACTAACATTCACTAAGAAGCTCTTAGAACTGTCTGGCACTACTTTAAAGGACTTAGTATTTCCCAACTCATTTAATCCTCACAAAAACCCTACAAGGCAAGTACTGTTACCATTTCTACTTTACAGCTGAAGTAAAACATAAAGAGGCTAAGTTGCCCAAGTTCACCCAGTGACAAATGGCTGAGATGGCCTCTAGAGCCAAGAGGCCCACCTCCCAAGCCTCTATTCTTTACCAAGCACTGCTGTGCCTCCTGGTGAGACGGTAAAGCACAGGCAACACTGACAGCCGCAAGGACGCAGCCCTGAGGGGCCCTCCATGGGTGGAGAGTCCTTTTCCTCACCCCTACAAAGATGGCAATTCCAGAATTAACTGGAGCCTCCACGAGCAATTCACTCTGCTGAGTCACAACTGATCTGCTGTTGCAGATCTCTAAATTTATACCTATTTTAGCGGAAAGGTTACCATTCCTGTTTCAATTCTTCAAAACTCAATTCTTTTAGACACTTTTGTTCACAATGTTGTTGAACACCAAATAATCTGCAGAAACTAGGTTATAAAATACAGCACTAGCTGTAACTTTTAAAAAATGCAAAACAGACAATAAAATACAGAAATACAAAACCTGTTTTTTATGATGAAAGCTACCAAGAAAGGAAAATCCAAATTTAACAGTGCTCTCCAGAGGATGGAGAAAGCACAGGGAAAGCCCCTGAAATGAAAATGCCAAGCACTGCCAGCTTGCCGGCCCCGCGGCCGCAGCTGCTCCCAGGGCTCCTGGCCTCCCCTTCTGCAGATAGAAGGTGAAGGTAGCTGTACCTTCATTCTTAGCTTCTTTTTTTGACCTGAGCTACTTGCCCTCTACTCTGAAATCAGAACTACAACACTTTTTGAGCCAAAAAGAATCTCCCAGACCATATAATGTAACTTAGCCTTCACTTTTGTAGTAAGAGGAAACGTGCTCCAGCGAGGCAATCTGCCAGGAACTAGGTCTCACCCAGGTCTTCTGACTTCCAGCGAGGGTGCTTTGTCCACACCCTCACTCCCACTCACCCAATGACTTGCAATAATTTCCGCACAGTAGTTCATCAGGGTGCTGGCATTCAGTTCCTCCGCAGTCTGATAGAAGCGAATACAGTTCCTGACATTCACCAGAGACATAACACCCTTCTCACATCTACAAGAGAGTATAAATGATGAACAATATTATTAGGACAAATATATTCATAAATTAACAAACCATACCAATAAATAATCTGTGTATGGAGGCTATTCCAGTAACACCTAAGTGTAAAATTAGGCAAAGTACTTATGAATAAATTATGGCTGAGCAACCATACTGTGAAAGTACTGGAATTTCATTCTGAAATTATACTGCTCATTCTGGTCAGAACCCAAATAAATTGTAAATACATGTTATGCATAATCCCCCAATTGCCTTAAAAGTAATCACATGAAATTCACAGATGATATACACACAGACCACTGTCAAATCAAACACACAACAGACCAAGTTCAGACCTCTGATGTTTACACACCAGGGACACAACTGCTGTGCTCACTAGCACGACTCTTTCGTGCAATCCGACGGCTTAACGACAGCTTCAGAGAGCCGGCCCTGTGCCTTCACCCACTGACAGGCCCCTAAAACTCCTCCCAAAAGGTAAACTGTTTGTTATGTGAATTGTAACTTAATAAAGTTGTTTTTAAAAAGTCCATTAAACAAATTCTATCATCCCTGGCTGGTGTAGCTCAGTGGATTGAGTGTGGGCCTGCGATTGCAGTTCGATTCCCAGTCAGGGCACATGCCTGGGTTGCAGGCCAGTTCCCTGCAGGGGACAAATTAGAGGCAACCATACATTGATGTTTCTCTCCCTCTCTCTTTCCCTTCCCCTCTAAAGATAAATGAATAAAATCTTCAAAAATATATTTTTAAAAATCTATCATGTACAGAAACAACTGCATTAGTAAAAACCACAGTACACCAAGATAAAGCTGGCTGCAATGGACAGCCCATAAAACCCCGTAACAGTAACGACAATAATCACTGACAAGAGAACAACTACATCAGAGAAGAGAGGGTTACACACAGGCAAGTGGGCCTCTGGCAGCACAAAAGAGGCGCAAACCCCAGCGTAGAAGACGCAGTGCCGGAGACTGGGGCTTCCAGTGCCCAGAACTGGAAGCCTTAGTGCACCTCCACAGAACAGAGCCTGGGGGCAAGGAGGAAGGAGGCTGGTGGCATGATCCTTTCATCTCCCTTGCCTGTGTATTTCCCTCCAAATCAGGTTCACTTCCAAAGACAGTAGAGAGACCAAAGACAATGTTAGGGGTATTTGTGGACACCCCACCACTGCTTCCTCTGTTCCACAGTCCCCACAAAAACCCTTAACTGATCACAAGGATAGAATGTAGTAACGAGAACATAATGGACTACAAGACAAGACAGACCTGAGTTTGAGATCCACTGAACGTTAGAGACCAGATTACACAAGCCCTCTGAGTCCCTATCTCCTCCTCTGTAAATACTCTATATCAGGGGTTTAGAGGATGTGTTTTTCAAGATAAAACTATATAAACTTTGTACAGTATAAAATACATTAACAGGTGTGCTCATAAGTCTGAGAACCTTCTCAAGGAAGATGCTTAATAACTAATATGAATGGGTTTCAGTACTATTATAAATAAGAGTAACAGACCGACTAGCAGGTAATTCCCTATTTTACCAGGTGAGGTTTAGTTAACAGAAGTGGAGAAAGACCATGGGAGAGTGGGAGATGGGGGAAGAAGGGAGTCACAGGGCAGACCTGAGAAGAATGAGGAACAAACTTTCAAAATCTCACAAATGAGACCTCATGCTAGGAGCAAGAATAATCTCAGTCATTTCTCCATTGAGCCATAAATGTAGGCACCTACATTTAAGCATTTTTACTTAAATGCTTAATTTTTTAAAATCTTCACCTGATATGTTTTTTAAATTGATTTTAGAGAGAGGAAAATGGGGGTGGTGAGGAAGGGAGGGAGGGAGGGAGAGAGAAAGAAGCATCAGAGTGAGAGAGAAACATTTGACCAGCTGCCTCCTATATGCGCCCGGACTGGGGATCAAAGCTGTAACTGAGGTAGTGCCTTGATCAGGAATTGAACCTGCAACTTTTTGGTGTACAGGACAACACTCCAACCAACTGAACCACCCAGCCAGGGCTAAATGCTTTTTTAAGTAACATGGATGCCTTCATGTAAAGAAGCATCACTCCCAATGACACTTTTAAATCAAATTGTTACGATATCTAAATAACTTACAATAACGAGTAACAGTTACATTTTTGAACCTCCTGTCTACCTGTCTTAACCACTAGTTTCCACAAACTCCCACCACACCACAGCAATGTTTAAGGAAGTCATTCTGACCCTGGCTATGAAATCAGGGCATTCCAGGTCAAAAGCCCTCTTTTTAGATATATACAAGACTTTTACCTTTTTTACAATGACAAGTGTCCGTAGTCTTGCCACCCTAGTGTCCTAACACATAGTATAATCTCAGTACTGACTTACCTTTGTAGGCCACTTTACAAAGCACATTTATAGACAATGCTAAATGAGTCTGAAAATTCCATTCTCTTCCTTTCTACTGACAAGAGACACTGAACCAAGACAGTTTACTATGATTCCCGAGGACAGATGTTTTGTTATAACTGGCAGGCACTTCATTTTCACTAAACTCTGGTGTCCCCAGAACATCATTCACTATTTGGGTAAGCTATAAATACTAACGGACATGATTTACACAACTGAAGAACATGTAATCTTATTTTTTAATTTTAAAAATATATTTTGATTATGCTACTACAGTTGTCCTATTTTCTCCCTTCACTCCCCTTCACCCTGCACACCCCCTCCCACCCACATTCCCCCCTTTAGTTCATGTCCGTGGGTCATACATACAAGTTCTTTAGCTTTTACATTTTCCATACTATTCTTGCTCTCCCCCTGTCTATTTTCTACCTACCATCTATGCTACTTATTCTCTGTACCTTTCCCCGCTCTCTCCTTCTCCCACTCCCCTCTTGATAACCCTCCATGTGATCTTCATTTCGGTGGTTCTGTTCTAGTTGTTTGCTTAGTTTGCTTTTGTTTTTGTTTTAGGTGTGGTTGTTAGTAATTGTGAGTTTGCTGTCATTTTACTGTATATGTTTTTTATCTTCTTTTTCTTAGATAAGTCCTTTTAACATTTCATATAATAAGGGCTTGGTGATGATGAACTTCTTTAACCTGACCTTATCTGAGAAGCACTTTATCTGCCCTTCAATTCTAAATGAAAGCTTTGCTGGACAGAGCAATCTTGGATGTAGGTCCTTGTCTCTCATGACTTGGAATACTTCTTTCCAGCCCCTTCTTGCCTGTAAGGTCTCTTTTGAGAAATCCGCTGACAGTCTGATGGAACTCCTTTGTAGATGACTGTCCCCTTATCTCTTGCTGCTTCTAGGATTCTCTACTTCACTTTAATTTTGGCTAATGTAATTATGATGTGCCTTGGTGTGTTCCTCCTTGGGTCCAACTCCTTTGGGACTCTCTGAGCTTCCTGGACTTCCTGGAAGTCTATTTCCTTTGCCAGTTGGGGAAGTTCTCCTTTATTATTTGTTCAAATAAGTTTTCCACTTGTTGCTCTTCCTCTTACCCTTCTGGTACCCCTATAATTCAGATGTTGGAACATTTAAAGATGTCCCGGAGGTTCCTAAGCCTCTCTTCATTTTTTGGAATTGTTTCTACATTCTTTTCTGATTGGATGTTTCTTCCTTCTGGTCCACTCCATTGATGTGAATCCCAGTTTCCTTCCCATCACTATTGGTTCCCTGTACATTTTCCTTTATTTCACTTAGCATAGCCTTCATTTTTTTCATCTAATTTGTGACCAAATTCAACCACTTCTTTGAGCATCCTGATTACCAGTGCTTTGAACGGTGCACCTCATAGGGTAGCTATCTCTTCATGCCTCGGCTGTATTTTTTCTGGAGCTCTGATCTTTCATTTGGGCCTTTTTTTTTGGTCTTGATATGCCTGTTATGTAGCGAGGGGCAGAGCCCTACTAGGGTGTTCACCAGGGTGGAGCAGCCCACAATTCTGGGTTGTGACTGTATGTGGGGGAAGGGTCTGAGAGGGAACAGTGATGCTTGCTCTACTCTCTGCTGCATTTCAGTCACTTACCCCACTACCCACAAGCAAAGTGGACTCTTCTAGTGCTGATTCCTGGGTGGGTGGGTTTGTGTATGTTCTAGGACCCTGTGGGTCTTTCCAACAAACTCTCCTGTGAGGCTGGGAGTTTCTCCAGGTGCCTCAACCCCCACAGATGTTTTCAATCAAAGGTTTGAGGCTTTACTTCCCAGTGCTGGAACCCTGGGTTGCAGTCTGACTTGCCCCCCAGTTTTTCTGGTTTATCTGCTCGACAATGTGGGACCACCCAGCTCTCAATCTGCCACCTTGCTGGGTCCATCAGCTGCCATGCTGCACGCCCCATCCTTCAGCTACAGCCTGGCCACGAGTCCTCTCTGCCTGTCTCTGCCCCTCCTACCAGTCTGGATGAATGTTTCTTCTTTAACTTCTTGGTTGTTGGACTTCCACACAGTTCAATTTTTCTGTCAGTTCTGGTTGTTTTTTGTTTTTAAATTGTTGTTCTTTTGGTTGTGTGAGGAGGCACAGTGAGTCTACCTACACCTCCATCTTGGGAAGAAGTGGCCATGTAATCTTACTTTAAAATTCAAATCCTCAGTTCATATCTTCTCTTCAAAAAGTAGCAAAACAGACTAACTTTTCTGAAGGAATTTTGTTGTTAATATGTCCTTAATTAGAGTACAAGAAAGATATAGATGCACAAAAACAATAAACCTAATTTTTTAAATACAAAATCAAGTGTGTATTTGTGTTCCACAAATTCCTGTCTAGTTTTGGTATTATTCCCATGTGTCTAAATGACAGACACAAAAAAATTACTGTAAAGATAAACAACAAACAGCGAGTATTTGTTGAGTTACAGATGACCTGGTTTTCTTCTTTATACATCCTATATTTTCTAAATACCGTATACGGAACATGGATTTTATAAAGAGGAAAAAATTGTTATATTAATAGTCAATTTTTAGCATACACTATTAATTATTGTTTTTAAAGAGTATTTTCCTGATAACACAAAACAATTTCCTCTTCATAAAACTGATGGTAGCATTCCCAGACCACCAAGATCCCTACATTACAAAAATGAGAAACATCAACTTCATATTTAACTGCACACATTTGTGTCAGGGCCCTTTTACCTATTATCTCAAATGTGTAATTTCTCCTGCAAGACAGCAGGGGGCACTCTGTGATCGTTACAAGCCAACATTTGAATCCACTCCTGGGTATTTTCCACTCCAGCTCTTAACAGAGCCCTGACAAGACAACAACTTAATGCCCACACCCAACAATACAAATTCAAGCCTGGTGAGGCTGATAGTTAGGAAGCCTAATCAGTGAATAAACAACAAGCATTTTAATTAAAGAATCCAATTAAATAAAAAAAATAAAAGTGCAAAAAAAAGAATCCATTACACAGATTATAATTATCTAAACTACTCCAACCCTATGGCATTTTTATCAAAGCAATTTAATTTATAAGTTAAGTTTGACAAGATCAGTGGAAGAAAGCTCAGGAAATTTGGGGGAAAAAAGATATAAATCACATTCAATCTAATTAAAATCATTGTCATTTCTCTCTCAGATGGTTCAAAAATTCACACAAACGAAAGAGTTAACTGAAAGGCCCTGACTGTAAAGTTAGCTTTATCAACCTAAAGCCTCATGTGCTTACAAATCCTAGACCTATTCCGTTTTTTTCTTAGTTATTGGATTTAGCTATTCAAATGCACTCAAATGCACATCAATCATAGACAGTTTGGAGTAACCTGTGTACTGACTCACATGGGACACAAGGGGCCACCTCCTGCTCCCCAGGGAGACACCAGCCCCACAGGGAAAATACTAAGCAGGGTCTCTCTTAGCTCTCTAGGGACAACACAGCAAGGGGTGGAGTTCCTCTTACTGGCTGAGACTATCCATTCACCCACTCAGGAGCAAAGCCCTTTCTTTACACACCCAGGAGAATACAAAAGATCACAAAATGTCATAAAAATACACTCCATCAACCAAGATGACTGCTAAGGGCCACATCTCCAAAAGAAACTAAAAGGTGCCTGATATTTGGTGAATGTTTTGTTTTCTATTATTCTGAAAGGCCAACTTGGGAGAGCAACAGAAATAAAAGGCAATATAAAGAACATGGAAGGCTATCTCTTTGGGAACCTAAATAGTAGTAACAAATGAAGTAGGACATCAGAAATGTATTGAGCCATATTCTCGTGTGTTAATTTAGGCATTAATGTGTTTCCAACAAACAGAGTATGACCAAGAACTTCATTCATGCAGAAGATCAGAAAGTAAAATAAAATATCAGCCCTGGCTCGTGTGGCTCAGTGGTTGAGTGCTGGCCTGCAAACCAAAGGGTCACCCGTTCAATTTCCAGTCTAAAGCACATGCCTGGGTTGCAAACCAGGTAGGTCCCCAGTAGGGGGCATTTGAGAGGCAACCACACATTGATGTTTTTCTCCCTCTCTTTCCCTCTCCCTTCCCCCTTCTAAAAAACTTTTTTTAAATTATAAACAAAAGATTAAAAGGACAAAAAATGTCAAAGGAAAAGGAATAGGAGGGGAGGTTGAGGATTTGGATATTGGATTACATTATTCCTAGTCAGTGTATCAATTCAAAAAATTGTGTAATCTCAGATAATAAACCAGTGCAGGAAAAAAAGAATACCTAAAAGCTTTAATAAACTTTAACTGAGGGGAAGTTGAGGGTTTGGATATTGGATTACATTATTCTTAGTCAGTGTATCAATTCACAAAATTGTGTAATCTCAGATAATAAAACGGTGCAGGAAAAAAGAATACCTAAAAGCTTTAGCAAACTTTAACTTACAAGAGAACACAGAACAAGGGAGATAAAATTCTCTCCCCCCCTATAGCCTTTAAAAGAACACCTTGCAAAAGTTATTTACATTAGCAGGAGAAGCTGTTTTCCCAGAGCTTGGCATAATTAAAGCTCAGCCACCACCATCTGAGGTGCTTGAATATATCTGCTGTGACTTGCCTCTCCCTAAGGAGCTGGAGCTGAAACCGATTAGCTAGTTTCATCAACTCAGTCAGGAACACATCATCTTCTCTGAACTCCAACTCATCCGTATAGATCCAACGAAGCATTGTCATTGTCACCTCAGGATTAGCATCTGGTTAAGGAAAGAAAGTAGAGAAACTGAAAACAAAGCACTGATGACACTGAAGCCCTCCTGAGGACCCCTAAAACCGGAGGCTACTGAGGTGTATTTGGTACACCCAATTCAAAGAAATATCACGCAGCGATTAAAAATGGTGAGTAAGCATTCTGGGCAGCATCTGACACCAGAAAAGTGTTAAGACTTTTGCAAAAGGTGATAGTTGGGGAAATGAACCTGTTAAAGATATAAGTAAAAAAAAAACCTTGGGGGAAAATATTTTAAACATATGACAAACAGTTTACATTCTAATAAAAAAACCTTACAAAAAAATAAAAGGATAAACATACAATGAAAAACAGGCAATACATATGAATAGGTAATTGACAAAGATAAATTAAAATGGCCAATAAATATTACCAATAACTAAATACAAATTTAAACTAGAACACATTTTTTCTCTCAGACTAGCAGTCTTAAAAGTTCATAACCTAGCCCTGGCTGGTGTAGTTTGTGGATTGAGCACGGGCCTGTGAACCAAAAGATTGCAGTTCGATTCCCGGTCAGGGCACATGCCTGGGTTGCAGACCAGTTCCCAGCAGGGGCCAGTTCCCTGCAGGGGATGCACCAGAAGCAACCATACATTGATTAAAAAAAAAAAAAAGTTCATAACCTTTTACATACCAGCTATATATGTAGATTACTATCCTAAGAAAAATAACTGAGCAAATATGAAGAAATACATGTACCAAGATAGTCATACAGTATTGTTTTCAATAACAAACTGGAACAAAAATCTTAAGAGTCCAACAACAGAGAACAAATTAAATAAATCACAATATATTCACATACTGGAAATATTGCACCAATTAAAATTTACATCTATATTCAGCATGTGAAGATATTTAGTACATAGAAGGTTTAAAAAACAGGCTAAGAATACATTATATATCATTTTGTTAGCTCTATTGGTATGTGTATATATATATTCATGTATGAATATATATATATATATATATATATATATATATACCCCCACACATATATAGTTCTGTGTTTATCTCTAAAACAAGCACTAACCAGGTCTGACCCTGTTTAGAATTCCAGAATCAAGGACACTGAGTGTGGTAAATGGCCTTAGGCAGACTGACTGTTTATCTGTCTGTCTAAAATACTAACCCTTACAAAATTCATAATCTTTCTTTTAGTTTATTTTCCCCAGATTTTAATTTAATGAACATGTATCACTTACATACTTTTTAAGTTAAAGACTATGGCAACTTGGGGAAATGCTCCAGATAAAAATCATAGTCTAAAATATCAAAAAGATGATTTCGACTAGAGTCAGTTTTTAACTAACAATGATGATTAGAGGGCCACCTAAAACTCTGGTTGACATTAGTGGTTCTGTCCCGGGCTAGCAGAATCAGCATCGTCTGGGAACTTTTTAGAAATTCTTATTCTCAGACCCACCCCAGAGCCCGGCAGCAGGGCCCAGCACTGGTGTTTTAGCAAGTTCCCAGGTGATGCTGATGACTTCCTCCGGTCTAGGAAACTACACTCAAATCCTGACGGTCTGGGAAAGGTGCGGCAAGGACCAGTAACATCTTACTAACTCAGTAATTAGGCAACAACTGATGAGCTCTTATTAATCTCTTTTCTTCCAACTGTAGTGGGAAATTTAAAAAAAGCCAAATATTAAACAACAAAAAACAAAAGGCTTTAAAAAAGAAACTGTGAAAGAAAATACACCAAGGTGCTGACAGTGATTATGTTAAGGCTTATTTTTTTTCCTTTTCTTTCTTACCTGGTAATGAAATAACAGCACTTTTAAATGTTTTGAGAGAAACATTTTAAAATCAGACAACATTCTAACTAGATTTATTTAAAGAATAAGGTTAACGAAACACTTCAACTAATCTAAGGTATATAGAGTAAATCTTGGAAGTAGGATGAATTTTATTTATTTATTTATTTATTTATTTTAAAAGATTTTATTTATTAATCTCTAGAGGGGAAGGGCAGGAGAGAGGGAGAGAAACATCAATGTATGGTTGCCTTTTGTGCATCCCCCGCTGGGAACTGGCCTGCAACCCAGGCATGTGCCCTGACTGGGAATTGAACCACAATCCTTTGATTCCCAGGCCCAGCTCAATCCACTGAGCTACACCAGCTAGGGTGGAAGCAAGATGAATTTTAAAGCTAGCTTTGTAAATTGGGTTTAATAGCTCAGGGGTCTCTTAATGAAAAAAACAAATACGTAAGTCATACGATTTGTCCAGTCACCCAAAACGCCAAGACTGGGTATACTACCCCTCTCACGCAGCCTTATCTTAGAAAGGTAGCTAATCCTAATGACAACCGAGTCCCCAGCATCACCACATTCAAATGTCTTCTCTGTTGGTAGTCTCTTTAATTCTGTTTTAAAATCTGTCTGGTTCCCTTTAATAACCTTCCCTCAAATTGTCCAAAGCAATAAACTTGATTTATACAACTGATAAACCAAAACCTAAATAATTTTTTTCAAAACTACCACCAGTAGGGATTTCCTGGAAAGCCCCCAAATTTCAAAGAAAATAAGATTCAAGTGATCTCTAAGCGTTCCCACTCCTGCTTTGACTCTTCCCTTAATCTCCAAAATATACTGAAAATAACTCTACTTTGAGACTCACACGAATCAGCCAGTGGTATAAGGTGGGCAGAGAATACTGAACCAGGAGGAGATGTGTGCTTCCAACTGTAAACTGTTAGGCAACATACAGTCTACTTCCAATGTACACTTAAGCAATGAATACTTAAGCCAATGGCCATAACAGTCAGATGACCCCATAAACCAGGAGTTACCTTTAGAAGAAGCAGACTCTGAGCAGTGAAACCAGCTGACTTCCACAACGGGCATATGTACCTGCCGCTAGCAGCACCCCGCCCTCAGAAGGCCCACCGCACATGCTGGCGAGAGACGGCAAGGAGGAGAAGGAACGGAACACCACACGTCTGACTTCACTGCAGACCAAGACGCGCACACACATTCTGGAGGAATTGAGATTGTTTACGTAGCCGAGGCTTTTGTTGTTATTGTTGTTTTAATCTGATTTTAAACAAATGTTTTACAAAACATTTGAAAAAAATGGGAATAAACTTATCTGCATTTAATTAACCATACATGAAGCACCCTGAAGAAATTAATTGTTACTTATATCCTGTTTAATCCGTCAAAAGCTGAGAAAGGTATTTTGAATCTCCTACTCTGATTTAATTAAATTGTCTTTGAGTTTCCAACTATTCTTTCTTCACCTACTTAGTACCGAAGTTTTCGACTAATAAAATTAAAAACTCACGACAGATTGCATCTTTCATCAGTAAAAACACCCTCTTTAATCAACTTAAGGCTGCACCCTTAAATATAACTTAATTTTTAAAAGATTTTATTTATTTAGCTTTAGAGGGGAAGGGAAGGAGAGAGGGGGAGAAACATCAATGTATGGTTGCCCCTCATGCATCCCCTGCTGGGGACTGGCCCGCAACCCAGGCATGTGCCCTGACTGGGAATCGAACTGGGATCATTTGGTTCGCAGGCCGATGCTCAATCCACTGAGCTACACCAGCCAGGGCTAAATATAACTTCTTAAAAATAAAAATAACCCCCAAATCATACTTCTAAATAATCCACAACAAAAAAAAAATTAAAGGATAAAGATTCTAATTCTGTTACCACAATGTAACAACCCATCCTATTTCAACTGTTTATAGCTAAAAACTCTAGACAGAGTACAGAGAAACACCTGAGGATTCTAAAAAGTAAACAAAAGCGGCTCAATTGTATAGGCAGGAAAAACTTAAAGAAGCTATCGCAGTGGATGACTTTCCAGATTTTTTCCCTCTCTGTGGCTGTTACAATGGGGATGCCTAAAACTCCATCTTTCTGGGAAGATGAAACAGGAGGGGGAGCAAGAGAAGGAGGCCTCCTCATTCCATACAAGAACCTATAGAGGACTCTGGTGCACATCTAGCTACCCGTGCATGGAACAGTCTCAAACCCAGCTTTAAGAACTGAAGTGATATCTGAACCACTACCCATAGAAGGTGAAACAGAATTTGCAGTCCGAACCTAAAAAGAGCCAACAGTTTCCAGAGGATTATGCAGGACCCAGAGTCCATATAACATAATCACAATGTCCAGGATATAATACAAAATCATTTAATACAAAAAAAGATGATCAGAAAAACATGACCATTTCTCAAAGGAAAAGACAAGTGACATAGTCTAACCCAAGATGACCCAGACATAGGATTTCTCGAAGACTTGAAAATGTAATGGTGCTCCAGAAGGTGAAGAAAACACACTTGAAATGAAGAGATAGAACTATATGGCATGTAAACTTAAAAAAAAGTACAAACACAAATTATAGAAATGAAAATTATAATATATGTTATAAAAACTCACACAATGGATTCAAAAGCAGAATGAAACTGGCAATGGAAAGTCTAAACTTGAGAATAGATGGATAGGAATTATCCTATCTAAAGAACAGACAGAAAAAGGATTGGGAGGAAAAAAAGAGCTGCAAGGAGATTTGTGGGATAGTAACAGAGGTTTACAGCATGTGTTCACTGGAGTCTCAGAATGAGAAAAGAAAGAGGTTGAAGATGAAAACTATCTAAAGAAATTATGGTCAAGAACTTTCCAAATTTGGTGACAGACATGTATTTTTAGATTCGAGATCTAGGACCTCCACACAAGAACATAATTGTACCTAGACACATCATAATAAAACTGTTGTAGCCCTGACTAGTGTAGCTCAGTGGATTAAGTGCGGGCCTGTGAACCAAAGGATCATGGTTCGATTCACAGTCAGGGCACATGCCTGGGTTGCAGGCCAGTTCCCAGCAGGGGACCTGTAAGAAAAATACATTGATATTTCTCTCCTCTCCTTCCCTTACCCTGTAAAAATAAAGAAACAAAATCTTAAAAAAAAAAAAACCCTGCTGCAAATTAAACATAAAGAGCAAGTCTA